TACCAATATTCCAGCAATATCACGATAGGGGACGTCTTGAGCAAATGCTTTAACCACTAGGCTGCCCCACAAACCCAATTCCAGGTTAGAATAGGTCCCTGGCAACCTATGCTGATCCTACGAGGCGACCAATTGGATCAGGTGCTCCCTCTCAGCAAACAAAAATACCTCAAAATGTCACGATCTTCAGATGTACAAGAGACATAAAACATTTAATGGAACAGTATTTACAGTATGGTGTATTTATTAAATACGGTCTAATTACCATTTTAAAAAAAATCTAACCTTTGACAAATCAATAATTCCACTTTCACCAAACTCCAAATGACCGCATTAACATTCAAAATAAGGACTGACATCAGAAATAACCTAGTCTTCTGACATTCAGAGCAGCTAGTGACTCCTAACCATTTTTATTGAACGTGACAACAACAAAAACAACCTGCCAGGACAAAGCCCTAATTTAAGCATCAAACACCATAACATCTGACATTTCATGTTTTTATTGCCAGAGAAAACCAACAAAACGTAAATATCTCCATTGTAATCAGCAGCTCCCAATCCAGCGGATGTCTTAAATGTCACATAGACATTTGGAGAACTACCAAGGCAGCAAAAAAAACCAATAATTAATGAACTTCCGCACAAAACATGTAGTAAAAAATCTAAGTTTAAACACTGACATGGAGGTTTCAACATGCCAAGAAAACTCTGCGTATCAAAGCCAGCTATTTACTAAGAATCTCAGTTAGTTTCTTACTCTAAAACTTCAGTTCAGAAAACAGGACGTAACGTGTAACAAGACGTTTCCCCGTTGCGACCACCTGAGACATGACTGCCTGTCGATGGACAACAATGAAAAGGGAACCCAACTTAAAAGATTTGAAGTCTCTTGGAGTTTCCTGCAGAACATATAATTATCTTCCGTATTTGCTGCAGAACATGTTGGCATCTCAGTGTTTCATGGTGACTGTACACAATGATTATAGTAGTGCTTCTCTCAGAATGTCATGAGGCCAACTCTTTGGTCTCGTAAAGATCTGTTACTGTCATTCAATACCTCTCTCCACTCTCCCCATCAAAATCAGAGAAACATTTCATAGGAACCCTGAGCAAACTGACCGATCAAAATGAAGATTGTGTATATTGATGTCAGCTTTCTAAAACAATTTGGCCTCAAAACATTCTTAATGCCGTCAACACAATCCGGTGCCAGTCGTAATGACTGCTTGTTTAATGTATGTAACACCTCTGTCCTTGAATCGAACATGTTGTCATGTTTGTGTGTAGATGCCAAGGCACCCCACAGTATCCACAGCTCCGGGATCGGCTATTATTACTCTCAATTTGGAAATGTCCATATTTGTTCAGTTACATGATACAGAAACCAGATATGCCACTCCAAATGCTTCACTAACTTGTACTGGGAGTGTAGAAGCCTCCACACTGAATGCGTAAAATGAAAGTTTTCTTGGAGGGCTGACAAATCTTGACATAGAGATGAATCATAGTCATTCAACTTGCTAGAAGGCAATCAGAATAGTGTATTACATGTATCACATTATGGTTCACGAGTAGTGATATCGATCCGGTATCGCGATCGGATAAATATGCAAATGAGGTCGTCTGTTAGGATCTACTTTTAGGCTCCATACATTGATGAAATGCCTTCTTTCTCAATGAACCATTGACTAACATTCCAAATATGCATGGACAGTCATGGTGTTTCTGGAGACAAACATGGCAGCAAGTCATTTGTCACTAATTGACAAATTGGGCATTTTACTCAAACATTGTACTGAGTGAAATTACATCTTAAACATCCATTATTTAAAGTATGGCATTAAGTGATTGTTTCCCTCGTGTGTTTCTCTATCATCAATATCACATTTTAGGAACAAAAAATATGCATTATGCTTGCCAAAGGCTCGTGTAAGACAATCATTATTCCTAATACTAGTATATGATATTGATGATATGGTAACACACTCGGCTAAAAATCTCTACTATTTGAACAGCCTGTATGAAGCTTAACTTGCCTTGTGGGATAGCATAGGTGTCGCACCATGGTCTCAGGGCCAGGAAACAAGTGGCCCTGTCTGACCCTGCTCTTATGCCAAGTGTGGTGTCCATGGCAAGTTTAGACCAGCAACCTGTCCATTAGTCTGAGACTTGGGAAAATCTCAAGGAACATGTTCTCTTTCCCCCAAATGTACTTATTTTAAGAAAACCACATTACAGAATAAAGTGTGGGCTGGTTGGATCCACCACTGCATGGTCAATCTCATTAACATCAGATATTAGTTCTTGCTACAGCTAAACAGAGTTCTGAGGACATCCCATTACAGGTCATGACAGAACGAAATTTCGCAAACTTTGGCTGACCAATGAAATAACTGACAAGAAGTCGACATTGGACACTCAAAAAGCAGCTTCCATCCTTGCCGAACGTGGGAAGATGCATGAAAAGTATCATATATCATGAACATGAGTCTCAAATAGACCCTAGACAACCTAAAACAATCTCCCCATCACTAACCTCATCTCCTTCTCATCCCTATTTCATTCTTCTCTGAAATTAAGAGACTTGATGGATACGTTACACTCATGTTTACAGAATTATTTTTATAAAACTTTATCCATAACTTTATCATTGTTAATGTAAACATGTATCTCATATCAATATGAAAGAAACTAATGGCTACAAAATACCATGCTGAAGAAGACTTTTCTCCCTCTTTTTTAGCATTATTGATTGTTGGCATAATGTAATCCAGTCAAAAAGTAAGTAGCTTGACATTTAAAGGTTTATGTACTGTGAGTTAATCAGACTGAGGAGTATTGCAGCCTGGGACTTAAGTCACGTTGAGATGCCAGGTTAGAATTTCTCCTCAGCAACCTATGCTGGTCATAAGAGGTGACATCTTCCCAAGGCAAGGGAGTTAACTGACTTTAAAAGTCCAGTTTCCAGCCTTGCTGAACTAGGCTGGAATTCCTGGGCTCGATCATAGCGCCACCAGTGGCTATTTCGAGTGATGTCCCTTCTAAGCCTCTCCTATGGACCAATCAGATTCCACCTCTCGTAAAACCTGCATTTGCTTCAAACGAAATTGCGGCGCCCAGTCAAGACGCTCTGATCGACAATCAAGATCTATATTGTAATAAAACGGGTCTTACATCGCGAAGTGCAGTAAATCACGTGAGCACCTTGATTAAAAACTTGAAAAGATTTGGAAAATATCTGTTGACAATGAGTTGGCAGTGCACATGCTGTGCAAATCCTGCAATCGACTGAACTCCTCATGACAGTTTACGAACCGGATTTTGATTTCAGTGCACGATTTTGATTGGACTATGCATAGACTCGTTAGTCCAGCCAAAATCTAACTCCATAATACCAGCCTAGTTCGGCAAGGGTGGAAACTGGACTTTTAAAGTCAGTTAACTCTCTTGCCTTGGGAAGATGAAGAGGTGACTACATAGATCAGGTAGTTGGGCTCAGTGACTTGATTGCATGTCATCGTACCCGGACAGCATGGACCGTTGCTCACAATATCAGTCACTGGACTGTCTGGTCCGGACTCTACTAATTACAGACTGCAGTCATATAGCTCGAATATTGTTGAAGTGCTGTGATAGACAACTATCAAACAAACCAACACTAGTCTCAAGTCTGAGTCTAGCAAATATATCTTTCTGTTTTGTGAGCTTAGCTTAGGACATGTCATAACTTTAAATATTAAGTAACACACAATCTGCATGTAAATAGTCAACTCTGGATCAGGGAAATCAGTAGACAAGCAACAATCCACATTACCAGTCTGATGAGGGCACAATGACAGACAATCAGCCATGACACCAAACCTAGCTCCCCTAAAAACCTTCAGTCTGCCCACACAAACAACATGGGATACTGGAGACCTATTCTCCATCAGAAACCCACCAGGACATATCAGTCAGTCATGTTACACCATAGAAGTTGTTAAACATGGGATACTGGAGACCTATTCTCCATCAGAAACCCACCAGGACATATCAGTCAGTCATGTTACACCATAGAAGTTGTTAAACATGGGATACTGGAGACCTATTCTCCATCAGAAACCCACCAGGACATATTAGTCAGTCATGTTACACCATAGAAGTTGTTAAACATGGGATACTGGAGACCTATTCTCCATCAGAAACCCACCAGGACATATCAGTCAGTCATGTTACACCATAGAAGTTGTTAAACATGGGATACTGGAGACCTATTCTCCATCAGAAACCCACCAGGACATATCAGTCAGTCATATTACACCATAGAAGTTGTTAAACATGGGATACTGGAGACCTATTCTCCATCAGAAACCCACCAGGACATATCAGTCAGTCAGGTTACACCATAGCAGTTGTTAAACATGGGATACTGGAGACCTATTCTCCATCAGAAACCCACCAGGACATATCAGTCAGCCATGTTACACAATAGAAGTTGTTAAACATGGGATACTGGAGACCTATTCTCCATCAGAAACCCACCAGGACATATCAGTCAGTCATGTTACACCATAGAAGTTGTTAAACATGGGATACTGGAGACCTATTCTCCATCAGAAACCAACCAGGACATATCAGTCAGCCATGTTACACAATAGAAGTTGTTAAACATGGGATACTGGAGACCTATTCTCCATCAGAAACCCACCAGGACATATCAGTCAGTCATGTTACACCATAGAAGTTGTTAAACATGGGATACTGGAGACCTATTCTCCATCAGAAACCCACCAGGACATATCAGTCAGTCATGTTACACCATAGAAGTTGTTAAACATGGGATACAGGAGACCTATTCTCCATCAGAAACCCACCAGGACATATCAGTCAGCCATGTTACACCATAGAAGTTGTTAAACATGGGATACTGGATACCTATTCTCCATCACTTCATCACTCAAGCTTGCTATTTATTCATTTTATATTGGGGCAGGTGACATATAGATACCATAGCTCACCTGATCTGCTCTCCAATGTCCATGAACAGGTCGTGTTTGTTGCCGTCTTCCAGCTGGTACTCCCACGCCCACAGCTGCTCCTGCTCATCACTCACAAGGTCAAGGTCACAACATGAGCATGAATATTCTTCATAACATCCATATTAAAGATGTGGGATATAATCTTTTCACAGAATCAATGTGAGTGGGCACGGTATGAAAATACAAAATAATGCAAGGTACATGTATTCGTAATTTGTTGGTTCATGGATCTGCAGACCAAATGTGGAATCAAATCAAAATTCTTCTGTTGTCTTCCTGCCCAGCACATTCAAGAATTGACTCCAATATCTTTTGTGTTTATGGAAGTATAAATGTAAAAATAGTTGTGCTCACTGTGTAAATCTGCATAAAGGATTTACACAAAGTGTGCACATAGTTTTAATGCTTATACCATAAGCATAAAAATATATATGTCAATTCTTATAAATAATTTATAAAAGATATTAAAAACTCACTAAGCACAAAAATGCAACACAAGCCCCTCCCCCCTATTATCAGCCAATCAGGAAACAGTTGCAGTGCATCATTAGCATTATTATAGGCATGATGAGTATTTGTTTACTGAGTATTATATAAAAATTATATAGAAGCATCATTAGGACTACGAATAGGTATGAGATGAGTTTATTAACAACTGAACATGTTGAGTGTGAGTGAGTGAGTGAGTATGGTTTTACGCCGCTTTTAGCAATATTCCAGCAATATCATGGCGGGGGACACCAGAAATGGGCTTCACACATTGTGCCCATGTCGGGAATCGAACCCGGGTCTTCGGCGTGACGAGCGAACGCTTTAACCACTAGGCTACCCGACCGCCCCACATGTTGAGTGTGAGATAACAAGACTGGACAATGTCCATTCAAGGATACAATCTGGATGGATGTTGGAGAGCATCAGGTGGGATGAGGATGTCATCGAAGAATCCAATTGACACTGCAAAATGGAATTCATGAAATCTATTGAAAAGTCATTTCAACTACTTTCTGAATTTTGAAAAATGGTAAAATATAAGCTCCACAATAATCAGTGATAAGCATGTATGGTTATGAATTGTTCATGTGTTAGCATGGTAAGGATACCCTCATACAAAAACAGTTCATAATTTTTAAATTAGGCATTATTATCTAGCATTATTACGGCCTGTAATTAATGGAATCTGGGTAAGGCAAACCAGTGGTTCATAGCATGAGCAAACATCACATCAAGAGACAGCATGACTATCTAAATGTGATTCCTTTGTGTTCGTGTATAGCCTACATACCAGTAGTACAGCTGTTGTTTTAGTGGTTTGCAATTAGTCTTAACTTGGGATGACCTCCCTTAGCATAGTGCAACTTTTTCACTGTTTTGTGAATGTGTGACTGTGGCCCCTTGATGTTTTTACTGGGATAATAGTACACAACACGTCAATAAAACTTCTTTTCAAAGGAAGAAATGCCTTGTGTTTTGATGTGATTTATACGGTAGACAGAGCTTTGCGAGAGAAATGAGCAGATGGAATGCTACAATCTACAACAGCTGATACTCATTGTCTCACCTTGTACACCCTCCTTGCTGCAGCTCTTGATCTTCCCGATCAACACCTCATCCACAAATGGCCGAAATACAACATAGCGGAAGTGAACTGAAAGATAGACAGATGTACTACATATTCAAAATGTGTTTGTAGACAAGATGCAACGTAGCACATACAGGGTTAGACACCATGGAATGAGCCCAAATACTCAATAATTCATTGAAGACAAGCTGCCTGTGACAGAAGTACTCATTCTTGAAACCTTTTTCCTGTCTTGTCCTACATGTACTAGGGGCGGTCGGGTAGCTTCGTGGTTAAAGCGTTCTCTCGTCATGCCGAAGGCCCGGGTTCGATTCCCGACATGGTTACAATGTGTGAAGCCCGTTTCTGGTGTCCCCCGCAGTGATATTGCTGGAATATTGCTAAAAGTGGCGTAAAACCATATTCACTCACTCTCACTCTTACATGTACTAATGAACTGCCGGTTGTATCAAGCCCTGCAAACACAGCAAATGTCCTGTGTTGTGTAACGCCACACTCAGCATGATTCCAAGTATATGACAGAAGCCTGTAAATATTCAAATCTGGACGAGACAGTCCAGCTATTGATGTTAAGAGCAATGATCCACACCAATGTGGTAAGATGACATGCAATCAACAAAGTCACCAAGCATGACCATCCGACCCCTCGGTCTCCTCTTACGACCAGCATAGGTTGCAAAGACCTGTTCTTACCCAGATTTAATTCAACATTGTTGATTGGGGCAGTATCTGAAGATGTTTAATGTGATGAACGGCTGTCTTAAGAGTTCAAGAGTTGTCTCCCCTGAAAATTTCCAGTTATGCAAGATCCTGTTAGTTGCCTCTTAAGCATAGTCGCCTCATACGGCAAGCATGGGTTGCTGAAGACCTGTTGTCAACCCAGATCTTCTCTGGTCAGTGTGCATAGAAGTCAGCCACACTAAAGCTATGAGTGACCATCCTGTAAACAATCGTGTTACCCAAGTGGTTATTACATAAGCAAGAATCCATGATGCCAGAGTACCAAGACAGTCTGTGCCAAATATATTTCCGTCTACAAGCCCCAACTTGGGTAGACTTTAGTAGTAACATATGGACTATTATTACCAGTAGACTAGCTAACCATACATTCACAAGACTCAAGCATAAGACTAGTTACTGAAGTCAGAGACTGATAATATTACAATCAGCCAGAACACAGACGGTAGCCCCTCAATAATTCCTTTTCAATCAGCTTATACTACCCAGACCATATTTGTTTGTTCGTAGTTTGAGGCTGCACTCAGAAACATCCCAACTATATCTGATGGCAGCTTGTAAAGAATTTAGCCTGGACCAGAAAAAACAGTGATTGATGTTCTGAGCAATGATCCAGGTCACGCAATCAATGAAGTCTCCAAGCATAACCACCCAAACTATTTAATCGCCCCATACGGAAAAATTATTAGGTTGCCGGGGAAAATAAAAATTTATTCTCACAACAAATATGTAGTACATACTTGGAAACTGGATCCCCCTCCCTCCCACACACACACCCTGATTTACAGTTCCACTTTATTTTGTTACATACCAACTGTGTGAGATGCTCCGTCTCCTGGGAAGATGTAGCTGTCCTCCAGTCTCTGCACATCCCATAATGCAATGCACAGACCCACATTGTACACCACCTGCAAACAACAGGAGGTGGTCAGCTGATATAATCATGCTAATATATTGTAATCATAATATACTAATCATGCTAAACATATTATATACATAAGACACGGCTGTCTGTTTTTCAAATTAATGACAATACAATTCATGTTAAACTTTGTAACTTTTCTATAAAACCACGAACATTCTGGCAAACCAAGAGTCCTTTTTGAAGATTGAATACACTAATCAGTATTTTACCATGTTCACACATCTGCTAACTTAGGAACATTTACACGTCTCATGATCCTGTCAATCCACCACACACATGATACACATTTAGTCTCCATTTCAACATGTTCCCATTGGGCATTGATCAAAATATACAGACAGAGAGATAATGCAGATATTGTGAGTGAGGCATCTGACACCCCCATTGGACATGCTTGAACATATTGCAGAAAAAGCATATTTGCAAAATAAACAAAATGCATATTTTCCAAGCTCCTCAATTTTAACATGTTTAACATGTTTAATCATGTTAATCCTTGTTGAAATATCGGTGTTCAGAATTAAGTGTGACTTTATCATGTTTTTTGCATTTGACCACACATCACTGTGATTACCTTGTTTGCCAGTTTTTTGTTGAGGGTTTCAATGATGGCATCTTTCTGGTCAAGGTTGAAGAGCCAAGGAGGAAGGCGGACAGTATCCTTCATCTCCGCGAGGACAAACATGGTCACTTGAGGATGATGCCGAATTCTGCGCCAAAGAATGTAATCAGTGAGGGACATATAATTGTTGGTTCTTTGACATTTCTAGATGTCAAACTGTGATAATCTTGCAAATAAAAAAAATAAATAATTTGGTATGCATGGTGAGAGGAACAGGGCTGCAAAATTAAGTCAGTTGGATTGGCTTGGCTAGGAAAATAAAACAAAGCATTTTGTCCCAAATATGATTTATAGTTCCCCATAGTTCCAACATTGACATGATCAAGTTCAGGGTTGGTTTCATTCGCATACAAGTTCTGGCGAAACTTTTACTTACAACATTTGTTCCTTTGGAGGTGCATATCGCGTCAAGTTTTGGTTTCTTTCACACTGAAATGGTTCCGGTCATACATGAATTTTCACACAGATGTCCTACCTTGTGTAACTGTCAAGTGTCCAAAAGAGGGATTTTGTGATGGGATATATTAAAATATGGGGCTTGGGTATTTTTTTTTTTTTTTTTTTTTTTTACATGTTTATTGTTTTGTTTTGTTTTTTGGGGGTGGAGGGTTTGGGATTGTTTGGGAGGCATGAGAAAAGATACATGAATTTTAAGCATGGACCAAATACTTGCAATATATTTGTTCGGGATGGAACTAATGTTCTGTGTGTGAAAATTCAATTTAATCCTGATATTTTTTCCCGGTCACAACTAAATTTGTGCAGAACAAAAATATGTTTATCCTGTAAAGATGGTAAAACTAGATCACACCAAACAAAAAGAAACACAAATACTTGCTTGAGCACTTTATATTTCAAAAAGACACTGGCCCCACTCATTCGAACCTTTTTCTCCAAATAAATAAGTAATAAGTAGTGAATAAACCTTCTTGGGAAATAAAACTATCATCATGATCACCATGATCACAGGGTTTTGTTTGAAATTAAATTGCAACTAAAGGGTTACAAACACTCTGTCCTTATGTTCACACAAAAATCATTTCTGATAAACCAGCAATGCTACAAAGCATCTAAATACGCTAGAATAACACAAAGTTCATGTAGTGAAATAATTGTGTGTTTCATATGGGTGAAACAATGGTGAGACCATGTTCAAATCCTCAACTGATTTGCTTGTACCAACACCACCAAAAGTTAGGCACCCCTTGAGTGACATCGCGGCTGCGAAATTGGCATGTGCTGGGGTGTCCCAGGATGTTATAAACTCATGCCTGGCCTCATCTATGTTTGAATCCACAAATTCCCCCTTATGATAGTAAACCTTATGAGAAATTGTTGATCAGAAATAAAATCCAATATGGCCGCATCCCAAAAAGATATTAAAAATAGTTTGATGTATTATGTGTGGAGACCATTCTCTGTCAGTTTGAACGATTTCACGCAGTAGATTCAGAGGAATATGATTTTGAAAACATGTACCCCAAACAAAGCAAAATACACCGTGAAAACCTTGAATCCAATATGGCTGCCAGACCACGTAACCAAAGTCAAATAAAATAAAATCTTAAGCACCTAAAGCAGCAGGAACATGAAAAGTTTGAAAGTAATGTGACTACCGGTTGTGGAGATATAGGGCAAGATATGTTTTCGAAAATTACCGTTTTCGAAGTAATAAGCGACTTTGGCAATATTTGCTGATATATTGGAAAGTGAACAATCCCAATAAGTACCCCTTCAGATTGATCAATGTACCTATTTTTTCCTGTATATTACGCACTCTTGTGTTTTATGCACCCTTAATTATGGGCAATTAAATTCTGTAAAAATATATCTCTCGTGTTTAATACACACAGAGTTTTCTTTAGTATAATTTCAGGCTGTCAGATTATATGACTGTCATAATCAGTCATCAGAAATAGAATATCAACAAATCTGTATTGAATTACGCATGTTAACCCTTTTGTTACACTATTAAAGTGTTCATTGTATATCTGGACTTATGTTTGTAATCTATTTTATTAATTTTATTCAAAATTTTACTCAATAATGCTTACATTATAATTTCGGTGAAATCGTGCCCCTATGATACTTACAACTTCTGTCCACCCCGTGCCATAGAGCCCACTTTACTACATACTGAGACAGTGCCAACTCATTTATCAGTGAAACAATGATCTTATTTTCTTCTGTTTCATTTTTTGAGGAATCTACACATATTATGTGTTATGTATGGAGACAATTCTCAGAAAGTTTGGAAGCATTTCATAAGGTGGATTCAGAGGAGTAATCAGTATAAATCATTTATATCATTGAATTTTCTGTCCCTTTCGACACTAATCATGCTAATGTGATTAACAAGATTCAGGAAAAGCATGGCAAGCATGGCCCTCGCTTTCAAAATGTCACTCTTGCATCCCAAGTACGAACTAGTCCGACTCGCCATTGTCCTCGGTGCCTTAGGTTTGCTACCTCCCAATCTCTTGACTGACATTGGGAGAGTACCCAAGTCTACTGCCAGGAATACAGCCCTTCTGACAATCTGGGTAATGCAGAAGGCTACAGTGTTGGGGAGTCTTCACATTCTCTGAAAAGTTCTGGGTGGGTTTGACTAGGCAGCGCTTCCTGGGAGAAGTCCCATTCGCTCTCTGGGCTGCATGTAGAGGGGGTAAGGGCCTAAACAGCCTGACTGTGCCAGGATTACCCAAACCTTCTTGCTGCATTATATATTTTAATATATAAATAATAATATCCCTGTGTTATGGGTTTTCGGACGCTTAAGAAACACTCATAGTTTCCTCTCTAATCACATGAACTTCTCTTAAAAACAAGCCATCATCTCAGTATTTACAGTGTCTGTGTGATGCTAAACCCTCTGTGTAAACCCGGCCATCCGAAAAAGTGTGACCGACAACAACACAAACAACAACAACAATAATAGGATTTTAATTTGTTGACGTTTCTGGTAGTTTTAAGACGTTTAAACTTTTGTGAGGGTTGTTACCTATCTACATGTAACTTGTATAAAGCTGTCAACATTTTAGCTGTTGATAACATTTCTTCGAAAGTTAACTTACCAAATGTTTAGGAACATATCAGAAAATAGAGGCATCACATTCTAACGTTGCAGATGTTCTACATTCATTAACGTCAATGTTGCATCCTGCACAGCGCAACTGCACAGTAATCCTTATAAATTTCACAAGCTACCGTCCACTTTTCGTCAACAAACTGCATGCTTCAACGAAAATAAGTCTTTTTCCTGTTTTACGACGTCAGTTCTCGGGTAATATAAGTACCACGAAGTTATAATAAAGCAAAACAATAATGTTACGACTAATTACGTTATTATTCGTTCATAACAAGTTCATGTGGAGTCACTTGTAAAGTTTTAAGCAAAGTTTTTTGAGGTGATATGTCGTTATCTATTTACATCGACCTCGTTTCTGACAAAACGGAAATACACGTGTAGCGCGAGCAGACAGCATCTGTGACCGGTACAGTTGCTCGATTTGATGATCAAGCATGCGAATATTACTCCTATTAAATTTGTGGACAATCGGCTTATGTTTACAAGAGCCCGAGGATGATGGTGGATGGTGAGTCAAGGTCGTGATGGAGATTCTATAATGCATGTGCCGTTCATGCACTGAAGCAGGTTCGGTTTTCGCGCACCCTCCAACAGCGACAGTATATTAGTATATGGCTACTGCATGGGTTCAGTGATAAGGGAATGGATCTAAGAAAGAAGTTGAGATCCACTTGATGTGTTTTGCTGTGTGTATAATAACATTTGAGTTCACATCTTTTTCTTGCAAGATTTGTTAATTATATTTATTAATGTCCCTAATAGATAATGAATTTGAATGTAGACCTATGCCTAACTTTACACAAATAAGTATTTTAATTGTTTGGTGTAGGAAGCTTAGGTGTAGGGTGGGGACGTTCTGTGCCAAGTTAGTGATCGGAGGAACTGAGAAGGTGACATCACTTCTGAGGGTGAATGGATCTACAGTGCATATGATGATAGAATGGAGATATGATACACTAAATCATCAAGGATCACCACCATTATGACCTTCTTGTTATATTATCTGGACTCCTTTCTCATTTCCAGGACTACCGAGCAGCATCTCCTGTTGGCCCACCCAGGCCCGTGTAGTATCGAGGTCCGTGAGGCCGACTCTCTGTCGCAGAAGGAGTTTCTAGAGAAGTGAGCATTGTGTTCAACCGTTGTTCTACATTAACATGTATCCCCTTTGATAACAGTGAAACTGTATCAAAGTGGGTTATCCAATAGATATGATAGATAATAAACTTTCAAGGTTTCATGACGTGAAAATAGACAATATAAAAATATTTTGTGTCATTCAAATTTGTATGTTGTTTAATGCCACACTAAGCCATATTCCAGCTATTCGACAGTGGCCCCTAAATAATGAAGTCTGGATGAGATAATACAGTGATTGATATTATGAACAATGATCCACGCGATCGGGGTAGGGCGACACACAATTAACCAAGTCAACTAGTCTGACCACCAGATCCATTTATTTGTCTCGTACAACAAGGATAGGTTGCTAGGGACCAATTTCGGAAACTGTTGTTCAAATGATTCTTGTTCCATCAATATTGTTTCCAAAGTGATATACATGCTCTTATACATGTATACTGTCAATATTTGGTCTGGAAAAGTTTGATATTAAATCTATCCTGATAGTTAAAGGTATTAATTTTGTACATGTTGTATTATCAACTCAGTTGTGTCAATATTAAAATATTATGATATTGATGTGAGATGATGATGAATTCTTTTTTCCAGGTATGCTTTTACTCAGCCGGTTGTGATACGACATGCTACCGATAATACAGTAAGTAGAGTGTACCATGGGGTAGTAACAATAGAAACATTGTTATTTGTAATTGTGTCTTGCATTGTAACAAAAGCAACATGTAAAGGACAAATGTTATGTGTTTTCAGATTTGTGAGTGTTGCTGAACATGTGGCGTGCTACAATTTCCCTTTGGGAATGTAAATTGCTACCTTGATATTCTTTTTCTTTTTTAACCATTAAGCCAGACTAATTTAATTACTTTTTTCAGATCCACCTGTCACTTTTGCAACAGGAAATAATTTTCTTGTAACCTCTTCTAAACGCTGACATCTTGACTATGTTTGCTCTTCTTCGCCTGAAGTTATAGGATAGATATTTCCCCAAAACATTAGCCCTGGCAAGAAAATTTATTAATCATGGTAATAGGGACAATATTCCCTCCTGGTATTTGGGGGTTAAGAATCTGTAAGTCACATATAATACTCAAAAGAAGTTAAAGACCACCTGATTCCTTCATATTACTATAGTGACTTCAGTCTATAGTAACATGAAAGAATCGGGTAATCCTTAATTTCTTTTGAATAGGATATTAATAACTAATGAACTGACTTACTTATAATTTCTAAATGTAAAATGGCATAACATTTCAGAAATTTCAAGATGCCTGCAGAAAAGATTTCATGTTATCAGAGCATGGAATAAAGAAGATACGCCTGAGTTCAGCAAACACCTACTCCTATAATAAAGGTGAATGCAGATAGGATTCTAAGTTAATCATAGTGGTTTGTGGCTGATTGTTCAACTTTCACAGTTTTCACCGAGCCCAAAGAATTTCTGAATGAAGGATCTCTAAAACAGTGTCTCACAAATTGGCTCAAATTGTTCCAGTCCAAATTTCAATATGACCACCATGGAAGTCCCATACTGCATACAAATCCATTTTGAACCATTACTGTGCTACTTTGTATGTATCCTTGTACACTTTGACATGTAAGTATTTAATGTCTGAATATCTATGTCATTTCATTGGTCGGTCAAAGTTCGTGAAAGGTTGTTCTGACGTGACCTAGCTGTGATGGGATGTCTTCGGCGATAGCGAGAACTTGTATCTGATTTTAATGAGATTGAGGTAATCTAAGCATGTGATAAATCCTGTTTTCGTTATTTAAGCATTAATTGTGTATTGTTAAGCAAGTTTATCTCTGCAGCCATTGTAATATGCAGCTATCAAAACACGGGCTGTGTACTCACGGGCAGATGACCACAGAGTACGCTGATCACTGTGTTGGATTAACAACATTGATTAATGAGTGATTTCGGTAATTCATTGCAAATTAGGGGTGTTGGAGTCGGAGTGCGAGACTCTCGGATTAACGGGTCTAAATAGCACTGATTTAATCAGTTCCCATCATAAGTATCAGATAAAGTTGATTGTCGGATTAACGAGTGTCGGATTAACGAGACTTGACTATATATCTTTGTGCTTCTGCTATGACCCCATTTTGGCCTTTCAACTTGGATTATCCACTTAAAACATTTAGAGGAGAAAAGGTAAATCTGATAACAGTATTATTCTAATGTTCCCACTTTTTCCAGGTCAAAAATTGGAGGACTGAGTAATTCAAAGACCACAATGTCAATAATGGACATGTTTACACTTCATGCAATGGGGAAGTGTATATCATCACTATTAGCATTGCTATTTGATAGTTTATCTTCACTATTTGATAGTGATTCATAAACACATGCACATGATATAGTTGAAATTGAACAATTGACTGTGCTTTTAGCAGAGATTTCTTATGAATATGGAAAGTGTTTTATCACTTTTGTTAATTATTGTGTTTGAATGTGTAAATTAAGTGCATATCTTGTTTGAGCCAAGAGTATGTAACTGGTCCTACCAGTTGAGCACAGGTTCTGTGCTGGAAAAGATTTGATCCCTCATATTGTTCTGTTACATTTCAGTGGATGTGAGTCTACATAAGTATGTTCATGAGGTCATGAAACCACAGACACTTGACATGCTGGGGAATGGTGAGTTGTAGACATTGTTGTTGATGTCTGTCTTGCAACGATGAATTTGGAAAATGCTGAATTCTGATTGATCAGAGGTTTCAAAGCACAATAAACACCTCTGATTGAAACAGTTTATCAATAGAAATTGACAAATAGATAATATTTCAAGTTTTGGGGGCACCAAAGACCTTGAAGTTTGGGACCTTAGTGTGTGTTCAATTCCAAATTCTTCAAGGATTGTTGAGAAAGAAGGAGGGAGGGTAGTTCCTCAAGTCAGTTGCAATATGGGGATCAGTAAGTAACACTATTGAGGACATGCTTATTCCTACAGAAACGTTCTACTGGTTCGGGGACAACAACCACACAGAGTGGGAGGCCCTGTTCAGCCTTTACAAGCCTCCACCCTACAGGCTGCCCAAGATGTCTGCAGTCTACAGCTTCGGTCTGGCCGGTAATACCCACAATACTACACAGCAATACACTTTCAACACTTGATCTCTGCTTTCAGAGAGATACTGGGTTACATAAAATGACTAAGATGAGTATCCGAGGGTCACAATAGCTGATCAGGGGCATGTGTGGTGCAGTCTTCAGATGTGCTTCAATTCTATGTGCAGGGTTGCGTCTCTCAGGCATGCCCAAAACCTATGGTAATGAATCGAATCCCAGTTCATATTATGTTCTTGGTTTGTCAGCAGTATGCCCATGATTGTGGGTTTCACCAAAATGGGAGACATTGGTAAACATGTAACACTTTGGGTATCCTTCCACACATCAAGCTGTCATATAACTAAAATACTGTCCAAAATGCTGTTAAACCCAACTTGCTCACTCGGTATCAGCTCAATCTGCTCTGTACTTCAGGTGCTGGAACTGGGGTGCCCTTCCATTTCCATGGGCCTGGATTTGGAGAAGTTGTGTTTGGACGGAAGGTGAGCATGTCACAAACTAAACCCCTGTTCTGTGATAAAAAGCAACTCATGTGATGTTCCATTTCTGTAGATAGCAAATGTGCATCTGGATATAACAAATGTTGATCTGTAGATAGGGATTTAAAAAAAAAGCGAGATCGTGAATATCCGGGTAGAGAATAGGTCTCCAGCAACCTATGCTTGCTGTAAGAGGCGACCATGTTCGTCGTAAGGGATCGGATGGTCAGGCCTGCTGACTTGGTTGATGCATGTCATCATATGCACATTGCGTGGATCGATGCTCATGATGTCAATCACAGGATTGTCTGGTCCAGACTTGATTTTTTACAGACTGCCGTCATATAGCTGGAATATTGCTGAGTGCAGTTTTAAATAACAAACAAACAAATACAATAACTTAGTTAGTAAAGCCTGTTTTTCAAATATTAGTAGTTCAAACAAACATGGTGGAAAGGTGTCCGGTATAATGCATTTGTTTCGTTTTTTCATCAGTTGTAAGTATATTTGTTAAAACGTTTGCTCATGCTCACGTTTATCATCATGATATGGAGATATGGAATCTTCATATGATTATTCCTGTCCATCACACTGCCCTCGTTCAGTTAATCCATGGATGATCGATCATGTGTTTCCAGAGGTGGTTCATGTACCCCCCAGATGAGACCCCTGACTTCCACCCCAACCGGACCACCCTCCATTGGCTGATTGAGGACTACCCACTTTTGGATCATATGAACAAACCTCTGGAATGTACCATTTCTAAAGGGGAGGTCAGCATCAGGGATTCAATACTCTTTGTTTAGTTGTAAATGATTGATTGAAAACATGCTCTGCCGCAATATCTCCCAATTTCTCACAAGTAATCAGAGCTACAGATAAGCAGCATATCTGCGTAAAATACCCCCCCAAAAGTACTTTCAATTAACTTGCGTACAGAAACGCATGCATTAAATAAAAACAGCACGCGTAAATACTCAATGAAGCTTTTCCATCATGCGTACAAAGCAGTGTTCTGAAACACAATTAAGAGCTAATTTACTTTCTGAGTCAAGCCTATATATTTAGAACAGTTATATTCATCTAAAACATTATTTCATTTTTTTTAAATCTTAAATGTTCACTAATTTTGGGAAAAACCCAATAGATGAGTGAAAAAATATTGGTTACCCAATGAAAAATGTAATAACCCAATTAAAATAGAAACCCTAGAGTAAAAACTCAATTGCTCAAAAGGTTATCTGGACCTCTGAGTAATGATATGTAACCCTACAAGTTATTCTTTTATTTATGTCAGTTCAATGGAAAACAAATGTGAGTGTTCGTCAATCTGATTAGTTGAAAAAAATCTCTTTTACCTTTCACTGCATATGAATACTTTTCTTGATAATATCATTTTCTTGTCTCATTCTCAAATTTTAAGACCATTGCTTTTGTCATGGTGAGAACACTTTATTGACCATGAGTTTGATTTATACCACCATTGCTTTGAGTGATTTGTCTTTGCATGCTTCTAATCCTGAATGCAGTTGTCACCGGAGTACATATGGCATTATCAATGGTCTCATGTCTTAACAATCTTGAATTACGTCATGCCTTTATCAACTGTTCGTAACATTGCGCATAACATTTATGATTGATGGGAGTGGTCCAGATGGGAGGTGTCAGGTGGGAGTGGTCCAGCTGGGAGGTGTCAAGATGGGAGTGGTCCAGGTGGGAGGTGTCCAGATGGGAGGAGTCAAGGTGGGAGTGTTCCAGGTGGGAGGAGTCAAGATGGGAGTGGGCAAGGTGGGAGGTGTCCAGATGGGAGGAGTCAAGATGGGAATGGGCAAGGTGGGAGGTGTCCAGATGGGAGGAGTCAAGATGGGAATGGGCAGGGTGGGAGGTGTCCAGATGGGAGGGGTCCATGTTTAAGGGGTTCAGATAGGGGGTATCGAGGTTAGAGGTGTCCTGTCCTGTCCTGATGGAAGGGGTCCTGGTTGAAGGTGCCCAGCTTGGGGATGTCCAGAAAGAAGTTGTCGAGGTGGGAGGTGTCCAGATAGGGGGTGTCAGAGGTAGGAGGGGCCCAAATTGGGGGTGTCCTGGTGGGAGGAGTCTAGGTCGGAAGATGGGAGAGATCCAGGATGCACATCATTTGTTTCAGCCACCTTACATGTCCACCTGTCAGTCCCTCCATGTGTTTTGTTCACTTCATGACTTAGGAGGTGCATCCTCAATTATCTAGTGTATCATATCTAGTGTCTATATTCAACTGGGATATATACCCCAGACCCATGTAAAGGTGATGTGCATGCACCCGACCTACCTCTGTACTTAATTTATTTCAAAGACATGATTAGATCTTGGCTTGTCTGAGGGACACAACTCTGCACACCATAGTGCCCAAGCAAAATAGGTGTGATTTTGAAGATTGTTCATGAAACATGCTATGACTAAACAGCATCATAATGACATGGGGATTCCGTGCCATGGTTAAATGCCATACTGTTGTTGCAGCTGATCTACTTCCCCGACCGCTGGTGGCACGGGACCCTCAACATCGACACCAGCGTCTTCATCTCCACCTTCCTCGCACCAGCATAGGTGGCAGACCTTGTCAGGGTTAGTCTCAAGGGAAAGTGTTTTAACTGAGCTCTTCAGTTGGTCAGACATTTTACAGATTTACAATTTTTGCCAATATATTTTATTTATGATGATTTACCTCATGAAGATACAAACACCTGTCATAATATGTCTATTTTTAATTATTTTCAAATTTGAATATATGCATCTTAGATGGATATAATTTGTCCATGAATATGTATAAGTAGAGATTATTAGCCATGTGTATTTCTGTATCGTATATCATATATCAGGTTAAGAAATTGTGTCAGGCAAGTCTTTGGCAAGTTTCATATATATTTGTTATTTCTAACATATGATATTTACAATTAACACAGAAATATTCAAGGGTGATAATCTCTTTATCATAAAATGTCATTCTTAAAATATTCAATGTTTAACATGTGTTTAAGACATAATATCTATTACAGTGAATAACTTTAGAAACCACATATGATTTAGTGCCAAATAATTTGAAGCCATTTTGTGAACAGAAGTATGCAAGCATCGAAAAAAAACCTGTCTAAAATCAGTGGGAAAGTTTGGCAATAATTTATTGAGCAAGTAGACATTGTCTTGGTGCATGGAGCCTAAAACAGAGTAAAACACTGCAGGGATAACAAATTTTATGAGGGACACAGCCCCGAGTGGTTTATTCTCCCTGCAGTGTTTTATTGTATGAAAAACAACGACCATGCGCCGTTTATTTCTTATATGAATTATCAATATTATGTACAGCCTCTTTAAGGGTGTTAATAAAATGTACAAGCTTTAAAAATATTTACCCGTATTTAAATAATGATGACTTCCTGAATAGAATCCCACCTCGGCAATGTCGGACAAGTCCATTTTATGAACAGGGGGTTAAATTTGGTCTTTTTCACATATTCTCTCAATTTGCACATCAGTTATGTGTACCTTTTCTCCCAACACCAATTGTCATATCTCTCCCACTTTTTGATGCGATCTTTTGGCCATTGCATTTATCTACGTTGCCCAGCTACACCTATGGGGAACAACTCACGAGACACTTCCCTCTCAAAAATAATGTTGTCAAATTTACTACGTCATCAAGTTGCGAGCGCATGTTTGAATCTCCAGAAATGTCGTCATGAAAGAACAATGTAATATCATGAAATAAACCGCACTTCGTTCTTCATTGCCATTTATCGCGTAGCTATCTTATATATGATAATAAGGATTCCTTAGTTAGAAAATGTTGTTTTATGCCACACTCAGCAACATTCCAGCAATATCACAGCAACCTGTAAGTAAACAAGTCTTTCCCAGGGAAACCAGTGGTTGATAGCATGAGCAATGATCTGTGATGTTGGGGTATGATGACCAGGGAGTGAGAGGCTGACAGTCATCCCCAAGACTTCAGGAAGTGTCAGTAAAAATTCCCAAATTGGAATTAATAACTTCCTAATTATGTTAATATTCATTATGGCTTTGTAGAGGTAGAACTGTATTTAACTGGACCAATAAAGAGGGAGAGGCTTAATGCTTAGTTTTACATTATTGCACAGAATGCAGTGTTAATTTAGCTCTGAATTCAGGATTATAACAAGTTTGAAAAATCCAAAATTTGAATTCTTTCCCAATTTACTTGTCAACTCAATTTGGAATCCTAGGTAAATCCCTCGACGACATAAAATCAGCCTAAGTCGCACATTATGGCCACCTAGTTGTTTTGGTAGGCATTTCAAAGAACATTCGGTATGTGTGACCATTGTGCCTCTATAATGAGGATTTTGTCATATGTAAATATTTCTTATCAAAGACCTATCTATATGTGTTAATCTTTTGTATAATACATGATCTTTTGTGTGAAATTAATAATACATCATTCAGGCAATGTTTTCAGTACATTATTAACTGATATAATTGAAATATGCATCAAATACAAATATGTACCTATCATACTACATGAAAAATTATCATACCTTTCATTAAAATACTAGCTTCTGATTGGTTGAGGAGCGGGCAATTATTTTTCCATGTAGCCCGCTCACAGGTGGGGTAAAAAATTCATGGAGCCCGCCGAGAAATCAATCAGAACACATCTTAGGTAACTTACTTATCTCGCATAATTATCGTTGAGTTTCTGAAAGTGATTTGGTAAAGGGAAGTAACTTGGTTCGTTTGTGTTGTGTTGTTTGTTTCTCAAAACAAGAAGTGGAACAAGTTTTGCTGACTTGCTGAAACTGCGGATGCATATTCTGTACCTGTATGAATAAATGTCGGTAAGATAAATTTGTTGTCAAACGATCCTTCGGGGCATATGTTGTGATGGATTCTTGCCTGGCAGCTTGGGGCACATAGGCTCACACACAGGGCACATGACATGTCATCTTCCATCCTTGTATGAAAAATCTTTGTGGAGACTGTTTAAATGCTGGAACTGCCATAAGGACAATGAATATCTTATTGTGCCGTTGTCTACTCAGAAGTATGTGGGTACCTGGTAGGTTATGTCAATGCTGTTGAGGTATGTCCGTCCAAGTGAGTATGTACGACATGGTATCCTACACTGGGATGTTAAGAATATAGAATAGCACTATGAAACAGCAGCCTGGGCAGGTACTTCAATACTTCTTGTAGAGAAGTGTTATCTACAAATGTCCCACAGCTCCTATGTGACAATATACTTTTCCATATTCAGTCATTTTTTGCAGATACACGTTGGATGCAATAACAAATATATATATATATATATATATATATATATATATATATATATATATATATATATATATTGATTTGAAACAATATATTGAGCATAAGTTGTACCACTGTCAATACTTCATGCATTTGTACATGTATATTACAATACTCCATCATCCTTGAAGAAACATACGTCTGCTTTGTGGTGTCATTCTGAACAAATTAAGCCACGGCCTGGTTCCAGAAAGAGAGAAGTCAGTAAGTGCTCAGATGACATTGGTGATATTTCTTGTGCAACGTGTCAGACCATGTAACCCGACGTTGCTGCAATATCAGCAGCGGTGTTGCTCACACAAATTTCATGCAAAGAGTAGGCTGATTTGACTTCTTTGAGTAATACATGGCCTCATGTCATTACCTGACTGAAAAAAGACACAGGTCACTACTAGGGCTGGGACGGGTAACTCGGGTACCGTACTCGGGTCGGGTGGGTCCTGAGTAAGACCCGGGTACCCACAGGACTACGTGGTTAGTCACGTGATGTATTGTTTAATGACAAAAACTTATTTTAGCTCAGTGGTTACACTACAAGTTGCTAATGTTCGCATTTCTTTCTGACGATGCACACATTCCTTTTGACTTGTAAATGTTTGAGTAAAGATAAAGCTTCAGTCAACTTCAGTGAACGCATGATCTGATTGTTTGATACATGTATCTAAATAGTTTTAGCCAGGGCTGCGGTAAAACAATTACCAATCAGACATTTTGTTCCCTACTCTTGAGACTTGCAGTGGGTACCCAGGTAGCGTCAGGTAATACGGGGTCGGGTACCCGGGTAGTAAATTTGGACTCGTTCCAGCCCTAGTCACTACATCGCATCGCAGACGTATATATTCATAGGTGATGGAGGAACCTCAAGTATTCAAACCCAATGAAACACTGATGATTTTGTACATAAAATATGGGTGTAATGAATTTAATCCTTGTTTCTGTGAAAATGGAAGGAATAATAACAGATATATCAGAAATAAACTTTTGTACACAATTCTGAATAATGGTAAAATCATGTGTTTGTCCTCTTTCAATAACATAGCTCAAACAACAGGAATGAAAAGTTTTGGGTGGAGGTATGGGTGAGCCCTATTGCTGTGTGGGAATTATCCATGAACACAGGATACAATAGACTGTACATTTATTCCACTTATATATGTATCTATTCACGGGTCTAATATCGTGTGGACTGCAAAGGGAGATAACTCAATATTTACATATAGGCCACTAGATTGGTTGGTTGGTTTGTTGTTTAACGCCACACCCAGCAATATTCCAGCTATATGACGGCGGTCTGTAAAATAATCAAGTCTGGACCAGACAATCCAGTGATTGATATCATGAGCATCGATCCACGCCATTGGGATCGATGGCATGCATCAACCAAGTCAGCGAGCCTGACCACCCGATCCCGTTAGTCGCCTTTTACGACAAGCATAGTCACCTTTTACAGCAAGCATGGGTTGCTGAAGACCTATTCTACCCCGGAATCTTCACGGGTCTAGAGGCCACTAGAAAATATGGCAAAAAATATAACTTTACAACTGCATAGTGCTTACCTACTTATTGTCTTGATAGGCAGCACTGGGCTAATTGTGGCATGTATGGTCTGTATATGTAGGACACAGGAGACAAACCAGGTGAAGAACTTGGACTGCAGAGAGTAGATGGTTGGGTGACTGCTTGGAAGGTTCACCTCCAGAAGGTTTCTGAGGCGTCAGTCCTGCCCCACACTATATCATGTTTTGAAAATACAAGTGTGTGGGTGGCATCTCCTTAGGCAGGACACTTATTGAGCCAGCAGTGAATGTGTACCTCACTATGTAAATGCAAAACCTCCTAGCTCCTAATAGGCTGCTTGGGTTGTATACTCCCCAGTGAGCTGAGAATGTCATGTGTGCACACAGGTTTGAGGGTATGGATACAGCACAAAATAATAAATATCATTAATTATTATGAATATGTCCAAACTCATGCTGGAAACTTCCTATTCATTGAGGCAGGTCAAGCAACAGAGGATGCGTTGAACTCGGTGAGTTTAGAGATAAACATTATGTGTTTTCAGAATTGTGTGATTGAGTCTTCAATGCCCGAAAACCTCATTTGAAACCAAGAGCCTCATCCTGGATTATCCAGCGTATCTTAATGGGATGGAGATATAATAATACACTGGATAATTGAGCATGTATTCGCGTTAGCATTTAAGCCATCACTTGTCACACCGATGGCACATGTTCGATCCTGACATGGTTCCAGTGAAGTCCATGTCTGGTGTCCTTGGCTGTGATATTGCACGATTATTTGCTAAAAACTGCAAAAACCATTCCCACTTACTATTGGAGGTGAACTGAACTATGTCAGATTAGTGTTTTGAGACGTTTAAGATATTTGAGTTGAGTTGAGATTAACAGTATTAAGTCACGCCACAGCATCAATGTGGGTGGAAATCCCCAAATAATTAAGATCTTAGACATTGTCCACTGTTTTCTCCATCTACATTCGTTGTGATCAGACACAGGGATGTTGAGTGGTGACAGTGTTTCATACGTGACAAGAGGCAATTAAACACTGGTTTAGACAATATTCCAGTCACATCTCAAGTTAATATTGCAGGAAAGCCCAGTGTGATGAAGGGAGTAGATGTTTGACAAAGTGTTAACATGATGTTTTCACAGCAGCCTGCAAATAATCCAGTTTGGATCAGACAAACCAGTGATGGATATAATGAGCAATGTTCCATGAGGGTAAACTAAGCCACCGAACCTGACAATCCAGTCCACTCTCAGTCACCTCGTACAACTGTACAGTTCACACTGTCAGGGCATGAAAAAATGCAATCAACCACATCTGTATCAGTTAACTCTATATCACATCAAGTGTTCTGTCTCAGAATACACCCATGGGAGTAGCATGGGGTAATGGGGACCTATTCTGCCCTGGAATCACCACAGGGAGACAAGCATGGGGTACAGGGGACCTACTCTGCCCTGGAATCTCCACAGGCAGACAATCATGGGGTACAGGGGACCTATTCTGCCCTGGAATCTCCACAGGCAGACAATCATGGGGTACAGGGGACCTATTCTGCCCTGGAATCTCCACAGGCAGACAATCATGGGGTACAGGGGACCTACTCTGCCCTGGAATCTCCACAAGGAGACAAGCATGGGATACAGGGGACCTATTCTGCCCTGGAATCTCCACAAGGAGACAAGCATGGGGTACTGGGGACCTATTCTGCCCTGGAATCTCCACAAGGAGACAAGCATGGGATACTGGGGACCTACTCTGCCCTGGAATCTCCACAAGGAGACAAGCATGGGATACAGGGGACCTATTCTGCCCTGGAATCTCCACAAGGAGACAAGCATGGGGTACTGGGGACCTATTCTGCCCTGGAATCTCCACAAGGAGACAAGCATGGGATACTGGGGACCTATTCTGCCCTGGAATCTCCACAGGGAGACAATCATGGGTACTGGGGACCTATCCTGCCCTGTAATTCTGAGAACTTTATGTCTCCATGTCTCGGCACAGCTGACTTAAGGATCAGCACATGTGGTTTTCCCTGTAACATTACACTTTTATGTTTTACTTCCTTTCTTCTGTTCATCCTTTGAGATTGTTCTTTAGAAAGTTGAGTTCTGGTTTAAGAACCCACATAAATACAGACATTCCAAGTTGAACTGATATGAAATAGTTTTTATTGATAAATGTGTTATCTTAGAAGACAAAATATACAAATAAACATCCAAATGGATGGCATGACAATAGCTATGTAAAACAGTATACATTATTATGGGTATTGCAAGGTATGGAAGAGCATGTTTGACAATGCATGGCAACAGCCCATGGATTGAATACGATACCTATCAACTTTTAATAGCAAAAGCAAGACTTATTTACATATTATACATATATTGGTACTTATAGTTGGTCATTTATCACAAACACATTTCCATCATGAGCACAAGCAGTTGTACGACATAGCAGAATCAATGACACAATCATGTACCTTACTGTAGTGATCATCCAATCATCATTCTAGTCAGGTCTTACAAGCTTGGGAAGAAAGTATCACAGAGCTAAAAGACAATCACACAAGAGTGACTGAGTGGGTGAGTTTAACACCAATCTGGACAGGATTTCAGTCTTATATTGGCATGTCAGCTTAATAAGAGAGGAAAACTTGGGGTGATGCTTGTCCAAGACGTTTAGCACTTTGGTGAAACCCACGAGCATTGGTGTGGTGCTGACAAACCAAAAATTGTAAATTAGGTGATTCTAGGATTATCATGCCAATATAGCTGAACTTGCAGCCATATTGAAAACTGGATTTGAGCCTCTTGAACAATTTCACTTGTTATCACTGGTGGTTATACAGACCAGAAGAAACTGACATGAAAAAAATAATTCAACCCAGACATTTTGTACAGCAACCAAGTTGTTGTAAAAATATGTTAACTAAGTGCTTGAAAAATACCAAACCAAAATCAACCCTTTGGAATTCTTTTTTAAGATCATGTGAATCAGTTGACCAACTAGCTATCAGTATGTGCTGTCATACCAACATACATAGCTGCTTTTAATACTAAATGTCTGGGTTATCAACAGTTTCTACTTGACTATATAGGTTAGGTGAAGATGGGGCTTAATGTTTTGAACGTTTTTTGGAATGATGTGGCAGGGAATCGAACCCTGGACATTTTGCTCTCCGGGTGGACACTCTACCACAAGACCACTGAGGCGGTCTACTGGACTACATAAGCCTGCTGAGTTTATTATACAGATTTATTGACCTAGTAATTACTGAGATGTCTGCAGATGATGTCGACAGTGGATGACAGACAAGCAGGCCATGACATGAGCTCACTTGACTTTCAGTGGGGTGAGCTAAAATCAAACCTTCCCTGAACAACAAAAGGAAAAAGTATAGTTCTGTGAAGAGATTCCTGTCAACTAACATCACAATGGAGATAATGGAGGTCAGAAACGCCATCTGGAGTTTCATTTCAATACATTTCTACATCAGCTGTAATTTGAATTTGTGTGTCTTGTTGTGCGCTACTACGTCATACATCACATGCAACAGCATCGGGAGTGATGTCATGACTTTGTACCTGTGGTCAGTTACGAATAAATCATCGTTCAATTCAGACATCTTGTTGCTTGATGTTCCTCCCAGTCTAGGTGCGGGTCATACAAGTACCTGAGCATGATGTACAGTCTTACAAATACACTACAGAAAGCACTGCGAACAAGGTCTTAGAAGCATCTCAAGTACTGTGAATTCTGGTAGCACTGTACGGGAAGAGGGTGGCTGCATTTCATCTGCAGACATATGTACTGGGACAGAAGACAGCGATTCGGTGCGATCAGACTGTCTATTTTTGGTGAAAGGAAATATTCCTCTTCCAAAGGAAACAAGACTGAATCGAAAGCAACCATAGATACTAACCCTCTCAAGTCATCCAAAGATAAGGATTCTTTGAAGTCAACCACTGCAGAGACTGAGTTAGAGCATGGGAGTCAAGATTGAGTGAGTGAGTTGGATTTAACGCCAATTTTAACAGTATTCCAGTCATATCACGGCGTGTCAGCTTAATGTGGGAGGAAAGCCCGAAGTGATGCAGATCTCAGACGTTTACCACTTCGGTGAAACCCACGAGCACGGGTATGGTGCTGACAAACCTAGAAACATAATTGGGCCGAACCGGGATTCGAACTCACAATCATAGGTTTCTGGCGTGCCCAAGGGACGCAACTCTGCACAGCAAAACGCGGCGCCTTAGACGACTGGGCCACCCGTGCCCCCTAGTCAAGATTCAGAGAAGAGAACTAGACTGAAGACAATTTTCACCAAGTTTGCGCACACATGTTCCCTACATAGAAATAGTATGCAGCCTGCTTCACCTGCCCAACCATCTGCTACAGATGAAGAGACGGATGATTCTTTGGGTAAGTGAAATAGGGATCAATGTTTAAGAGTCTGAGATAGAAGAGTATGATCCACCACTGTGTGTCTGAGTGGTTGTGCAAAGAATAAAAATGAATAAAGGCAGTCAATTGTATTTAATATCTCATACTAATTTCATAATAAGACCACAAGGTAACATGACTGATGTCCTACGATGGTTCATTGATTCAATATAACACTAACGTGACTTCTATGCAATTCCTCTCGGGAAGAAAGGCATTGGATAATTTCCAGAGCTTGTAAGTGTCTCTGTTGACACCCAAGAATTTATCTGGATATTGTGCCTCTTGTAAGGGAATCTTTGTTTAATGAATAGGCAGAAAATATATCCTTCATTTTTATCTGGGCATGTTGTTTTCGCAGACTCGTCAATAAAGGACAAAAGTTCTTGATGAACACCTACAAAAAGTTATGCAGAAGACTACAGAATCTTCAGTATTGAAGACTTATGATTGATTACAGATGTCAAATGTTACAGAAAGTCCCAGAAAAGAAACGCCTGAAATAGTTATTGTTGAGACACCCAAATATGCGAGTCAATAGTCCCGGCCAGCCCGGCAGTGAAAAGAAGAATATCCGGGGAAGGCCAGAGCCGGCCACCAAAGAGATCACATAAGCAAAGCACCAGTCCGCATCCGGGATAGTTCAGGTGGGGTACCACAGGATCGGTCTAGCAGCCAAGATGCCAGACATGATCACACCGAATCCCCTTGTCCACTGCGGGGTTGCCCTACTAAAACCAAGAAACTAAAGAGACATTTTGTGGACCGGCATCTTCCGTGGTACTTCAAAGATAAGGAAACGAAAGTAACTATACAAGAACCGGAAACCCACTTCAGAAGGGCAGCCGCATTAAAACAATTAGTCCGATGGAACCTGGGAGCCGAGGGGACTGTTTTCCAGCTATTGGACTACGTCGATCACTATCTCATGATCTCACCACAGATTGAATTTGCCCAACTGGCTTGTGCTGGGATGAGGGAGTTGATCGGAAGGGAAGGGTGGTCACATCCTCACTGCCTCAGCCTCCATCCTCTAAATTCACCGGCCTGTTTGATATATTGGAGAATGCTGGTGTTGCTGATGAATGAACTCACTACTTCTCAAACCGAGCACCTGTTAGCGGAGGGTCCACAGCCGGTTCCTCAGCACAGAGTCAGCTTTGTCGGGGCAGTGGAAGTATATTGCAACCCCGAGACGTATCCGTAAGTGGGAGCCTGGGGAAGTGGAAGGTGGCAGTGGAAGTCCATCCCAAGAAGGTCAACCAGTTAAGTGATGCTAGATTCCGACAATTAGTATGCTTGTGCAGCCAGCCAGGAGTAGCGGTTAGGGAAATTGGACTGGATAGGTCAACAAGTCCTGCCGGATGGAGTAAGCAAAAGTAGGTTCTAAGGGAGGTTCTCGCCATTACGCCAAGGGACAAGGTGATAGTGCTCCACCATATTGCCAAATTGAGGGAACGCGTGCCATCAGATTAACCTCTGCATGTTCACTGCTTTATGGGAACTCAGGACACAGTTCAAGAGTGGCTCCAACACTACCCCAACACCTTCTTCGGGTTTACCATAAATTCGACCAACGGCAAGTGCAAGGACTCCTAGCAGTTCCCATGGGGCGATTACTATTGGAGACAGACTCCCCATACATGCACCCCGAGTGTGGACAAATGACTGCAATGACTGGGGGGGTAGCAGCCCTTGTTGCAGCCATTGCCGGAATTGGGTACCATGAGCTGTTGTCCAACATGTCTATGGGTGTTGAGGCCGGCCAGGGAACAGCCCCGAAACCCTCGACCGTCGTGGCTCTGGCGGTCCCAGTAATTCAGCTCCCAGTTGCAACTGATGTGCAGTTGGTTGCCCTCCCAGATGGAGGAGACCCAAGAAAACACATTGGAAAATTGTGGGTTCCCGGCAATGGATCTGTCGGGATGTGTCAAAGGTGAGAGGAAGCCCCTTCAGGGTTAGGGGGGCTAAGTAAACAGGGAAGGATGTAGTGATCGTAGGTTTCCAAAAGCATTCGGAAAGGTTCCGGTTGGTCGTCCCATGGCTGACTGCAGGAGGCCCCCTAATTTTGAGTGTGTTGTCAGTCATCATTGTAAGTGAACCAAGTCAAGTTTCTAACTCAATGCAGTATAGACCAATATACTGAGTCGACATACTGACAGCCCTTGTAAGTTAGTATATAACAAGGTTTGTGAACCCGAGATATCATTTTCACAACAAACATTAGGTAGGATGTAATACTTGTTTTAGTATAGCATGTATGACATTATTTCAGTGTACCGGTAGGTTATAATTGTGTGATTTGAGTGTATGAATGTATTTTAAGTCATTAGTATAAGTACAGTAATGATTATAAGCACACCATTCATGTTTATGATTTTCTGATATTATGTGAATGTGCTATAATATTTTTTGTGATACAGGCGACATTAGTATTTGTGTCCACCATTTTGTCGGCCATGTTTAATATTCAATATCATGGTACATGTAATGTTTGTGCCATGAGAAATGAATCAATATCAATTTAACTCATGTGCGTTGTGTATAATTATAAGTATATTACAGCACAGGTAATGTTGCGCTGGTAAGGCTTAGATAAGGGTATTTTTATGTAAGTTTATCTATACCATTCCATTTGAGATTATGTTTATAGTAGGTTTAGAATGAATTAATATGGCAGTCGATTACTATGTATATTATTTTATGATATTTATTTTTAACTAAGTTAATATGACATGTGTATGTTATCACTTATAAGAAGGGTCTGCAGTGACAAGCAGTTACAGTAGATTATACCTACTGTCACCCGAGTGCCACACATTCAGTAGGCATATGAAACATTTATTGTTTATATTTCATGTATGTTTATGCCACCAATGTGTGTGGATACAATTGGTATATTTCACATCATGATTAATATTGTGATATTCTATTTATAATGTATTCATGTCCTAGTATAAGCTATATATTTGTGAACTGCATGTATGTATAATTTACATCTTGTACATACAGGTATAAGTGCATTGATGCAGTTTAAGTAATATGTATCACAGAGATGTGTATTATGAATCATTTGATATCTGTCATAGGTTCATGTGACGGGATGCGATTAATGATTTATGTGTATTTGTCAAAACTAAGTTCTGAATATAATATATGGAGAACACCATGATTAATGTGGTGAATGCATTTAAATCATTATATCAATAACTGTGATACGTGCAATCACTCCATAACTCCATGAATGTTTTACCTATTTGTTGTTCATTATGTTTCAGGGTGAATATTGATATTGGCAAACATATTTGTGGTTTCTTGGTCACGACTCACCCCCAACTGGTGTTGGTCTTCCTCTTGAGTTGTGCACCACCCTAACCTGCTACAATTGAATAGGTTTGTTTCAGGACGTTTTATAATGGGAATTAAGTTAGACAGGAGGATTATACTGAAGTATAAGAAAGAATGATGCAAGGCTGATTTAAATTAACAAATGAAGGTTTTCCCCTTATTTGTGTTTCATAATGAACTTTGGATCAACTTCATTCATTTGTGTTTTGATTCTATAATTGGAAAAGAATACTGCCAAGGGAGAGGAGAATGCAACACAAAGCCATCTGCAGAACACATCTTAACCTTTACCATAGATCTATTTGTTCTACTATCACTGGGCGCCATTAGAGGGTACCTATTCCAGATTTAGTGCTTATTATTCTAATAATAATCTGCTTCTGACAAATAAATTGATCCATTTTTCTTCAAGACGGATGATCAGTTTTTTAGTAGTGCCGATGTTAATCTGCAGGAACCATTTATCGACTTGACAAGTTAGTTGAACCACCTCAGCAAAATATGTATCCAATATCTACACTGTATTCACCTCTACCTCAAGTTGGAAATAATGTCGGTTTAAGGGGTAGACAGACTGGTAGGGATACACTTTTAAGGTCAGGTTACAATGCACCTGCACATCAGAGCAGGGACTATCGGTTGTTTGGTCACTATGTACCAGACGGCATCATGACAGGTGGGTGTTCTGTTCATGTCAGCACTCCAGAAATACAACAGAATAAGTCAAGGGTTGATTTTTGGAGTCCCCCAAGTTTTGATAGTGCAAGACCATTAAATCCAGGGACCACTGTTTTGTAAGAATTAAGGTGGTATCAATTAAAATAAATTTGTACATACTGGTAGTTTAGGTTTTTTGTTTTTTTCTGTCTTGGGGGGAAACCTTCACGTTTCACTTTGTTGTTCTGGGAGGTATCTGGGAGGGCACAGATTGTTACTTTCAGATGGCCTTACAAGTACATGCCGATCAGAAAGAGATGGCAGACTCCTTGGAGTCCGAACACGCCATTTGGCCCAACGAGGGCATGGCCTGTGAAGTACCAGGATGTTCTGGTCACCACTATACCAAATAAAGAGACTTGGTTAACCATTGTGTTCTGGAACACCATCCGAAACACAACCTTCAGGAGTGCTTTATTTGTTAAAGGGTTTTTCAAAGAAAACCAGATGCATAGACACTCAGCCATCCAAGCTCTGCCAGTGTTCTTTACAACCGTGCAGCAGAGGAGCCTAACTTATAAGGACCGAGTAGCATGCCTCCTTCCACGACCAAGATATCCCAAGAAATACAGGGAATGCACTTTGGAGCCTCAAAGAAACAGATTTCCCTTCACACAGGGATATTTTACTGTGGTCATTGTTCTCACACATATTGCACAGTTTCAGACAATTTACAACATGGACCAGGAGCCATTGGGCTCACATGAGGCCAATTTTACAGGAGAGTAGGACAGGAATATGCCACTGTGGACAACATTGAATTTTTTAGTGATTGCCCTATCACAATACAGACAAAAGGAAACTTCCATCTTCTAACTTTGAAACCACATGAGATTAGGTTCAAGAGAGCTGTTTGGAACTTTTTGAGGCCAGTCATGGCACAGGTGCACAAGATGCTGTTTGGGGTGTAATGAAGAGGAATGAATGACACAGCAGCTTGTGTCAGATACCATGCAAGTATTGATGTTAATATGTCATTTCATATATACAAAGCATGACTGACATAGAACTTTCCTGAAATCAGTGCTTTAGTTTCTGCCCATTTTTCATATATGTATATATGGAAAAATACATCGGTGGAATATAAACATTTCAGGCTGTGAGCATTAACCACGAAATTAATCTTTCAACTCAAAATTCTCTTTTCAACTCTTTTTTTCACCAAAATAATATTCTAATAAGAGCACCTTATTTCTAATTTTGAGAGCGCCCTTGGCGCTTATTATGTCGAATACGGTATATAAGTAATGTATAAAAAATAATCAAAATCATGCAAAGTTACATTCTCACATACTAATATGATTATTTGAAATATAAGCATGATAAGTGAGTGAGTATGGTTTTACGCCGCTTTTAGCAATATTCCAGCAATATCACGGCAGGGGACACCAGAAATGGGCTTCACACATTGTACCCATGTTGGGAATCTTACCCGGGTCTTCGGCGTGACGAGCGACCGCTTTAACCACAAGGCTACCCGACCGCCCCTGTTTGAAATATAAAGTGTGCTTGGTTTATAATTTCAGTTGCTGTCTGTTATGAACAAGAGCAGTATCACTCTCAGTGAGAGTTCCAAGTTACCATTGCTCGGCAATTTTGGCTAGTACAACCAACACAAATATTTTTTCAAAACTTGATGGAAATAGCTGAATGTGAGATTGGACAATCACACATACTGATCAGCCAATCAGAGAACGTTTTACAAAATCAACATGGGTGTTCTGAAAATGTGGTCACTGCTCTGACCACAGCCATTGCCTGTCGAATTTATTTTCAAAGTGGGTCAAAGTTTTCAATCAACTTGCTCAAGTACTTTTATATCTTTGAGTGCAAACTTCAACTTGAAAGCTTATGGCAGTGACTGAAACGCGGTGCTATTTTTAGACGATACCTACTATTGGTTCCATGTTATTGAGATGTGCCGTGTTGTTTGTTACTGTGTAGTCTGTATGCCTCTATTGTTGTAAAAGTGAAATGGGGCAGTAATAAGTATCTTTACTATGGTAATCTGTCATTTTGTTTGTCTGTCAGGGTTGTCATCTTTGAGAGGCAATTCGAAATAATAACATCTGTTTAGATATCGTGTTTTTATCACAAGGGACATAACTTATGTTCTACACAGGGTGGTGCAACGATCAAGTCAAGAAAAGTAGGCTTGAAATGGCAAGTATGGACTCTAGGCTTTGATAAAGGCTGGTGGACACTCTTGTCTTGGAAAAATGCACAACCATGTGCTCAGTCTGAGGACATGTCAGGTCAATCACAGTAAGTGCAGTCCTGTCCCAAACAAATACAAGTTGTGTTATCTTTGCACAACCCTGGTAACAGTTACATAGGTAGAAGACAAGGCTGTAGTATGGACCTATTCTATACCTCAACTAGCACAAGTTTGTTGACCTTCCCTTTATCCAATCATGATCTTCATTTGAATTACCTTATTAGGAAAGAAATACTGACCTTCTCACATGAGATATTGCTTGTGTGAGGTCAAGAATACCTCCGAGGTTGCTGATCACCTATTGGTAAATTGACTGAGGTGTCAGCTTGTGGTTTAGATGTTCATGTGTTCATCAACCTGAATAAAATTAAGTCACTAAGACTTTCATGTTTGTTACAGAAACAATACTTTAATGAGTCACTTGGTATTTCATGTTTGCCAGCATTAATAACATATTGTCCAAACTATCTTTAAATCCCCACCCCCCACCCCAATATGCCTGCCACAGAAACTTATACGACTCAACATTTGCTAGGACCAAAATAGTTAAAGGTGTAGTCCTCAACAAATGTTGAGCTGTACAGTTTGAAATCAGTGATAAGTGTAAACACGAAAGATGTGACTACATGTTGTTGCCTGCTGACATCTCCATGATGACTGAATCAAAACAGGGGCCCAACTGCACCAAGGAGGAAAGAACTGTATTTGCTGACCATATCACAAAATTCAAGATCATCCGTGCAGCAAATCAAAGAGTAGGGGAATCAGAGAGAAGGAAAAATTAAAGAACAAGCCTGGGTGGAGGTAGTTGAGACTCTTTTGGAAGTCACTAGTTACAGTTGTCAGATGTCCTGCTTACACTACATTATAAATATAGGATTATATTATCTATGAGGCCGTACTTTGAAGCAAATAAATACCAGTACATAAATTTCAAGTAACAAAAAATGGTGCTAGGCAAAGCGAAGTGTCTCAATTGCATTGCAAACACAAAGTCTAGTGTATTCCAGCTGAAATGGCTGTTATCAACTCAGTATTGAAATATATCTGTGGCATGTAAGCAAGTTTGGAAATTAGTTATTCATCAGTACTTTAGGAAATTGGTGAAGTCTAGGCCTTGTCAGTCAGTGCACAGTCTCATCAAGCAACTCACCTGCTGTTCTCATTCCAAAGCATGCATTTATCATGTATGTGTGGAAAACAGAAGGTAGGAGAGACCAAGCTTCTCAGCAGCTACATCCACTACATATTCTGCACCAGTCATGAGAGCAGCCATAAAAAGAAAGGCAGACACTACTGTAAAGCAGGAAATATTCTGAACAGCACTGCTCTCTCCCAGGAACTTCAGAAACACAACAATGGTGTGCAACTGTACTTCATCACAGCTGATGAAATTCAAGGTGAGGAAAGAATATCAATCAAGATCAACAAACCATAAAGGTAGCACAGGGTCAGCACTGAGGGCAAAGTAACAGAATATGTCCGGTTGTTGTCACATGTATCACAGGAGGGAAAGCCCACTACAAGCAAATAGCCTTACACTGGTGACAGGTTACTGAGGATCACAACCGTTGTAGGTAAGCACCAAGGGTTTGTAGCTCACCTGGTCCTGTAGCTCACCTTGTCCTGCAGGTCACCTAGCCCTGTAGCTAACCTGGATCCATCTACACACAAGTTTGTTCCATGATTTAACGGGGATAAAAAAGGCATTGACAACTGAAATGACGATAGTACAAACCCACGGCAGTCCAGGTGCAGTAGTTCCATCATTCCTACATTACTTCATAATCCACATAAACAAGGCCTGCATGCACACCAAACTACCACATGAATCTCATGAGATTGGCTTATCAAGAACAGACACAATTGTTATTCTGTGCTCCCCTTTCTTGGTCAGAACCAAAAGCGTCACAGCCAAAAATGTTGTCAGGGTAGATTTGAACTTCCACTAAAAACACACAGGATTTCTTTGTACGATTTAAGTTCAGAAAAATACATTTTCAATCAAACAAGAACCTCAATTGTCTGTCTGAACTGATCCTCAAACAGATGATATGGCCTTTTTTATCCCATGAGTTAAGAGAAAGAAACAATATAATGTCTTAATTTGTAGGTAGAAATGAAAATGTTGATTCAAACTCTCAATCATTGTTACATGCAGCTTTATTCTAAAATAGCATTTAAAATATTGTGAATGATGAGATCTGTTGAACAAAAAATAAATCCATTGCAACAGGATTAGATACAAAAACAAGAAATATATATGTACTGGCACTGGAAGGAATGTTTGTTGTAATGGATTACCCATTCTGTTACAACAGCATGTTTGTTGTAATGGATTACCCATTCTGTTACAACAGCATGTTTGTTGTAATGGATTACCCATTCTGTTACAACAGCATGTTTGTTGTTTAACGTCGCACTCATCAATATTCCAGCTATATGACGGCGGCCTGTAAATAATCGAGTCTGGAGTCATGAGCATCGATCCACCCAATTGGGATACGATGACATGATTCAACCAAGTCAGCGAGTCTGACCACCCGATCCTGTAAGTCGCCTCTTACAACAAGCATAGTTGCCTTTTACGGCAAGCATGGGTTGCTGGAGACCTATTCCACCCTGATTTCTCCACGGGTCTTGATCAAATAAATAACAATTGTTGAAATTATTATCAGTATAATTTTGAATTTAAATCTGTGGCCTGACCTGGTCAGCCCCTCATGATTTTAACCCTCATTAAATGTTTCTATTTCTTTTCTATTTTTTGTTTTCAAAAGAAATAAAGCTCTTACATAAAAACTGATGCACAGAGTGCATACAGTTGAAGTAGGTCTAAACAGATGGCATCACACGTGTGTCTGAATATCTCATGTATGGTAGCATTGTCTTGGATAACACAATCTTAAGCAACACAAGCATTCTGTGATCAACAGTCCTTCACATCATCCTAAACATATCAAAATATGTGGAGATAGATGAGAATATGATGGCAGTAGTCAAAGAAAAGAGATCATTCATCTTTCGTCTTTGGTGGAAACATAGCAGCAACAGCCATGGCCTCCAGTTTTGGGACAGCGATGACGCAGAGCGCGGCGGCGATGACATACGAGAGGCGATAGATTGAGTCCATGGCATAGAGCAGCGACGAAAACACCATCATATACAACAGCCACGAAACCATGGTGCAGCTGTTTCTGGAAAAATGCAGAAAAATCATGGTACAATAAGTGGTATGCTCACATGGTATCAACCAAGTCACCAAGCCTTACCACCCGATCCAAGTCATCTCTTACGACCAGCATAGGTTGCTGAGGTACAATTCTAACCCTGAATCCCCACAAGGGACATCTGTTGGACAAACACAAGGACAAGATGAGCAAGGAAAGGTATGATCAAAATCCATTTTGTTTTAATAATATGAATATGGCATGGGTTCCTGATAGAAAACATTTCTTGAGGATACTCACTTCTTAAATTCTACTTTATCATTGATGAAATACAGCAGAGATACTACACTGGTGATGACTCCAACTATCTTGCTGGGGTCGGTCGACAGCGCAGCACTATACCTGCAAACAAAACAATATATATATATATATCACATATAATAATCATAATTAGTAAAAGCAAGGGAAGTTTTTAACAATATGAATATCACTGCAACAGGTCTAAGAACAGTTGGAGGGAGGAGAGAGATGACACAAAGGTTGAGAAAAGTCCAGAGACTTCCGGAGTTGCTTAGATTACAACCATTAACCATCAATATTCATTGTTGAGTGCGTGAGTAAGATGTTCATTCTTTGAACACTTAGAGACAGCTTCAAGTGGCAGTATATTTTTCTATGTGTAGAGCACAGGTCACAAATCAGGAGAAGTCAAGCAACGTTGGTTGTAGAGAGTAGTTGGATGGGTGACAGTGTTCAGCCTGCCCCACACTGAAGTACATGTAGTACTTGTGGGGTCTACTTAGGCAAGTGACTTTGTTTAAAATGTGCCTCTGTTCCCCCAGTAGTGAACGGGTACCTGGTAGGATGATATGGTAATGTGACTGAACCTTTTTAGAGCCTCACAAACAGCTTGGGTTGCATACTCCACTGAGAGCTAAGAATGAAAATCTAGTACACACTGATCCATTGATTGGGGTAATAATGTAGTGCTCAGACCAATCCTTAAGGGTGTGGATCTATCGCATTATAAATATGCACATTGGTATTATTTGTGAATAAACGATAATGTCACAAAATTACCAAGGATTTTTGCAAAGTGAACCATCTAGACACTTGGCTACCCTACTTTAATCACATTTGTAGCATCTCACCTGAAATTCTTGGCCCACACAATTAGAGATGGTGAATTGAGAACTAGCAGCCAGAGATATATCATCAGCAGTATAAAGAAGAAGTTGAACTTGGATTCATCCTCTCTCACTCTGGTGGAGGCCCACCTGTTGCACAGCCACAGCACCTGGTAGAAAACATACATTATCTTATCTTACACATTCGTTTCTTATTGCTTCCTGAATGGGAGATTTTTCCCCATGCACCCAGCTGAGAGATAAGGTAGAAATTTCACATGTCCCACTGGGAAATGTCGAACTTCTTACAATGCGAGTACAGTGATTTGATTATTTCATCTTGAAATGTAGCTTGGCGAACGCGGTGAGTATATCCGATGGTCATGCAACATCAAAAAACTTGATGTATTTACGTCCTCTGCAAGCTGTCACCATGTCTGTGAAACAGTTTACTAGCTAGATGGAGACATGTTAGATACATGGGTGAAAACTAAGCCAGTAAGGTAGATTTCTTGTCAACCAGTCCTTTAGGGTATACAGTGTGACGTACCTGTGTGCGTGTCTACGTAACCCTCCATCTACTGGCTACATCACATTATATACCCTCGCTAAGTAATATTGTCATATAATACTGTCACCCATCAAGATAAGGCTTTATCTCAGTCATACTGACCATTCAATACATGTATAATTTCATTTCTAAAGAACACAGGAAACATTCTATCCCAGATCCAGAAAAAAGAAAAAGCAGCATTGAATGTTTTGTGTACAAGTAAACAATGTTGACATGAGTTCTATGACTAGTACCAGATACAATGTTGACATGAGTTCTATGATTAGTACCAGATACTGACCTTTGCCACCATGAGGAAGTAGCAGAGAAGTATAGAAACAGATCCACACACTGTCAGGGCTGACACCAGCGCCAGGACACACACGCACACCTCCACGTACAGACTCAGATTCAGGATAAACTCGGGAACCCTTCAAAAAATAATTTTATGTTCTCACTAGTATGTAATTAAATGAAAAATCTACACAAATGCATATTCAGTGAGTGAGTTAGTTGGGTAAAATGCTGCTTTATAACTGTAATCAATCCTATCACAGTTTGTCAGCTTAATGTCAGAGGAAAGCCCAAATTGGTACATGTCTCAGATGTTTAGCACTTTGGTGAAACCCATGAACACAGGGTATAGTACCAAGAAACCGAGCAACACAATCAGGGCAAATATGGGATTTGAACCACAATCCTAGGTTTCTGGCATGGCTGATGGACACAACTCAGCATGGTGAATTCCTGAATCTTTGATTCCTGGGCCACCCATGCCCCCAAATATTTAATGAACATGTGCCAGATTTGGCTTGAGAACATCTCCTTACCATCTGAAGACAAGTCCGAGCACCCAGCTGACAACAGCGATCACACTCTGCGTGAACCGCACGTGAACCAGCGAGATGAGGAATGTTGAGAAGAACATGAGGAATGTCAGTGCCTGGAACCACAGGTCACGTGACTCCAGAGCCTCTTTATCATCTCGCGGGAGACCGAGGCTTGTGAGCAGTTTCTCTACTTTCTTGTAGCTGAAAGTTAGGAAAAGGTGAATTGAGCATACATTAAAATCTTCAGAAAACGACCATTTCTGGACAGTAGGCACATAAGTTTTGGCACAGACATAGTGCGCTGGCTTCAAGCCCAAACTAGCATCCTATGTCAAAGATTTTGAACACCAACACAACCAAATTTGAAATATGACACAAACTGGTTTGATGACTAAAATTGTTTCATTTATAATTAAGTTCCGACCCTTTTGGTTTCTGGTTCAAAATATCCTGGAATATATTGTGTTACTTGACATACATGATTAACATTGTCTTGTATATAATTCTTAAATAAGTTTCTTGGCCCCTAAATAAAGCTTTGGCTGGCATGAAAAGAACATAAGGAGACAGGCGGATAAGTGCCTGAAGATTCGCAGGATCAATTAGGCTAGCAGGCTCACAAGTGTGAGTGTGGCATCAGTATGCCAGGGACTGTTACAAGGGAAGCAACTCTGTATGGCTTGCTTGCATGACTAGGATTTATCAGTGAAAGTTTACTAAGAGTATTCATCAATGCAAAGAGCCTAAATGAAAACAATTTTAAAAGAAAAAGAAAAAAACCCAGCTTTACACATTGCAATCTTGCCTGTCTGCAAATCATTCAAATCAGACAAAATGGTTAATGGCACTGCACATAGAAACAAAAATACCACAAAAAATTTGTTTTATTTTACAAGTTACAATTTTATCTAACATGTTGAAGATATGATATTCCCCGTGGGGTTTCCGAGTTAGAATAGGTCTCCAGCAACATGTCCACAAAACATAGAATTGCTGGGTACCTCTTCTAGCAAGGACTTTAGGGGATAAATTCTAGCAGCAAGGATTTGGGGGGACAAAACATACCAGCAAGGATTTTGGGGGACAAATCATATACACAGCAGCAAGGATTTTGGGGACAAACCATACCAGCAGGGACTTTGGGGGACAAGTCATACCAGCAAGGACTTTGGGGTACAAATCATACCAACAAGGACCTTTGGGGACAAATCATACCAACAAGGACCTTTGGGGACAAATCATACCAGCAAGGACTTGGGGGTACAACTCATACCAACAAGGACCTTTGTGGTACAAATCATACCAGCAAGGACTTTGGGGGACAATACATACCAGCAAGGACTTTGGGGTACAAATCATACCAACAAGGACCTTTGGGGACAAATCATACCAACAAGGACCTTTGGGGACAAATCATACCAACAAGGACCTTTGGGGACAAATCATACCAGCAAGGACTTTGGGGTACAACTCATACCAGCAAGGACTTTGGGGGACAATACATACAAGCAAGGACTTTGGGGTACAAATCATACGAACAAGGACCTTTGGGGACAAATCATACCAACAAGGACCTTTGGGGACAAATCATACCAGCAAGGACTTTTGGGGACAAATCATACCAACAAGGACCTTTAGGGTACAACTCATACCAGCAAGGACTTTGGGGGACAATACATACCAGCAAGGACTTTGGGGTACAAATCATACCAACAAGGACCTTTGGGACAAATCATACCAACAAGGACTTTTGGGGACAAATCATACCAGCAAGGACCTTTAGGGACAAATCATATCAACAAGGACCTTTGGGGACAAATCATACCAGGAAGGACCTTTAGGGACAAATCATACCAGCAAGGACTTTTGGGGACAAATCATACCAGCAAGGACCTTTGGGACAAATCATACCAACAAGGACTTTTGGGGACAAATCATACCAGCAAGGACCTTTAGGGACAAATCATATCAACAAGGACCTTTGGGGACAAATCATACCAGGAAGGACCTTTAGGGACAAATCATACCAGCAAGGACTTTTGGGGACAAATCATACCAGCAAGGGTTTTGGGGTACAAGTCATACCAGCAAGGGTTTTGGGGTACAAATCATACCAACAAGGACCTTTGGGGACAAATCATACAAGCAAGGACTTTTGGGGACAAATCATACAAGCAAGGACTTTTGGGGACAAATCATACAAGCAAGGACTTTTGGGGACAAATCATACAAGCAAGGACTTTTGGGGACAAATCATACAAGCAAGGACTTTTGGGGACAAATCATACAAGCAAGGACTTTTGGGGACAAATCATACCAACAAGGACCTTTGGGGACGAATTCTACCAACAAGGACTTGGGGGGACCAATTCTAAAAGCAAGGACTTTGATGGCACAAAGAAGAAAAAAGGTTTCAACTTTGTGTAAGTTATTCATTTACCTGGCGACATATCGGAAGGCAAGCACAAAGGGCAGCACGATAAATGGCTTACTGTACACAAACACAGCCTCAGCTCCTGGGCAGCATATGTCACCTGTAAACATAGACAGGTATTGTGTCACCTGTAAACATAGACAGGTATTGTGTCACCTGTAAACATAGACAGGTATTGTGTCACCTGTAAACATAGACAGGTATTGTGTCACCTGTAAACATATACAGGTATTGTCACCTGTAAACACATACAGGTATTGTGTCACCTGTAAACATATACAGGTATTGTGTCACCTGTAAACATATACAGGTATTGTGTCACCTGTAAACATAGACAGGTATTGTCACCTGTAAACACATACAGGTATTGTGTCACCACTCAGCAACAATGTATCAGAAACACTACTTTACAATGTGTGCTGGTTTGATTTTGTGTTCACTGTCAAACTGTCATGTATGGGGAACCCCTTATCAATCACCAATATGAAGCAGATCTGCTGAGAATCTTAGGCTAAAAGTCCAACCTTCAAACATGTATTATGTAGTTATATATGTATATAAAGGTGAAATAATTACCATCTTACAACACACCATGATCGTTCATCTCAAAACTTCAGGAATTTACATTTTACACATCAAACTTTTGACCTGCTCCCTTATTCAAGGTTACCTAAATTTGAGTGATTGATAAATTTGGACAAATCACAATTACCGAAATAACCATGAAGTAGAAAGTGTATGATCTGGGACTCACCTGATGCTAGTTTCAGGAAGTGACCTCTGAGGGTCAGGAGCAGCACACACACAAAGAAGCATGGAAACAGGACTCCGTAAAATCTCACAAACTGAAACAGAATAAATATGTGTTATCCACATTGCCCACCCTCAGAACACTTGACTGTAGAGAGGAGGTGGATGGGTGCCCACCCTCAGAACACTTGACTATAGAGAAGGGTGGATGGGTGCCCACCCTGAGAACACTTGACTATAGAGAGGAGGTGGATGGGTGCCAACCCTCAGAACACTTGACTATAGAGAGGAGGTGGATGGGTGCCCACCCTCAGAACACTTGACTATAGAGAGGAGATGGATGGGTGCCCACCCTGAGAACACTTGACTACAGAGAGGAGGTGGATGGGTGCCCACCCTCAGAACACTTGACTATAGAGAGGAGATGGATGGGTGCCCACCCTCAGAACACTTGACTACAGAGAGGAGGTGGATGGGTGCCAACCCTCAGAACACTTGACTATAGAGAGGAGGTGGGTGGATGGGTGGGTGCCCACCCTCAGAACACTTGACTATAGAGAGTAGGTGGATGGGTGCCCACCCTCAGAACACTTGACTATAGAGTGGAGGTGGATGGGTGCCCACCTTCAGAACACTCGACAATAGGGAGTTTTAGAGGCTTAGGCCTGCACAATACTGATTCAAAGGTCATAAAACATGTGATGGCTCCTTAAGCAACTGACTTTGTTTATAATAATAATCACCCAGCAGTCAATGGGTACCTGGCTGGATGTGATGGTAATATGAATGCAAAACCTCCTAGAGCCGTAGCAGCAGTTTGGGTTGTATACTCAAGCTGAGAATGTCACTTGAGTGCACACTGATCCATTAGCTTTGGTAATAATTGTATAATGCTATGAGAATGCTTTAGGGACGGATACAACATATAATCATGATTATTATCATCACTATCAATATTTTACTCAGTAGTCACTGTGATCATCCAATCCCCAGATTAGGTACCATCAAAGACAAATATGATGCATAAGCAGGGACCTATGCCCTGGAGTTGCAATGACGTGACACATAAAAACATCAAATAGAGCTGAATGCTCTGATCATCAAAACAGGGAAACAATATTATTTCAAGCACTACAAAACACAAGACACTTTAAATTCCCATCAACATTACCTCTGTGTGACAAACAAAGATTAGAAGAGTCATCTTGGCTTTCAGAAAACAGATCAGAGTATAATTCTGACAATCATGTGTTTTTCTGTTCTTATGCATAAGATCAACCAATCTGATAGCCATAAAATCATGCATACATTTCCTGAAAAAAAACTTTTTTTCCAAAGAGTATTCTCCTTTATATCAATGATGACTCAAAATGCGGAAATTTCTAAACCAACTTCAACTATTTCTGACTTAACTGGCACATAAAATGGACGACCGTCCTGGCTTCAAAGAGTGACAAAAACATAAAATACATCCATCCACATCCTATTCTTTTGACAACGCCAGATTACGAGATAAACCAATTACAGAGAACAAGGCTATGTTTGCCAGCCTTCAGAACCAAGACACGACAAAGAGATGGAAAATTAGAAATTTTACACATGGGCACCCTTTACACTTTACCCCATCAATAAAAGATGGCCTCTGAGGAAGCCACCTTGTGTTTAGCCGATCGCGAGAGCACTTGGTACCAGTTATCTGATGAAGGAAAGCAAGGTTTAGGAATATTTCTACAGACACCCATTTTTTCCCAATTCTTGTTGAAAGGGAAGTCATTCTCTATTTCAGTGTTTGATGTTGGAACAGCAATTATTCATCATTGTCATTTAAGGTCTGATAGTATTACTAAAGGGGTTGATACAAATGCTTATTGTGACCACAGGTATGAGATACACAGGCCACATCAGAGCACAAAGTAGTCTATTGTATTTACTATTTTAGAGAAGCTATTGATGGTCACGGAATACATTTGGGTGTTAAAAGGCTTGGCCTTTGAATCTCTTGGATTAAGCCTTTTAACATAAAACTTTTCTCTGTAATATTTCCGAAACCCTGTGAATGGCATTATCACTGATCAAATGTATCCTTTGTAACCAGCAGTAAATGGGTACCTGGTAGGAACAGAAAGCCAAGTGCACACTGTTGAGCATTCTTGCTGTATCCTCCCCAGGGAGATGAGACAGATTGAAGGAAATTTGTATCCTATGAGTGAGTAAGTAACACCAGTTTTAGCAATAGTCAGGGCATATTAAGGCACTGGTAACCAGGATTGGCAACCATTTGTGGAATCAAACCCATGATGAGCGATGACATCACCAACTGAGCTACTACACCACCTCCATAACACATGGGAGATTTACATCAACACAAAGTTATATCAATTTTTCCAGTTTATCAGTTGCATGTCAACTTAATGCATTGGGAGGAATGGGAGGCCAGTCATCAATGGTGCTGCAATTTGCTGTGCAGAGTTGCATCTGTTGGGGGAGCCAGAAACCCATGATTCATCCCGACAATTCGTCCCAAAATGTTTGAGGTTTGTCAGCACCATACCCATACTTGTAAACATCTGAGACCCTCATCACTTGTACTGGGGCTTTCCTCCCACAACCTGACACACTGTGATATACTGAAATACTTGAAAAAGAAGCATAACAACCTCACTCACTCACTCACTCACTCACTCACTCACTCACTCGAAGACCCACCCACCAAACAATACATCCACTCACTCTATATTCCGGCACATATCACAAATCATGGTTTTAAGTGGCACTATTCAAAATGAACAAATCTGTTTAGGTAACCAGAGTATCATCAAGCTCAGTGTTCAGTAACAAAACCTCACAACAAATCTTTTATATGATGTTTAAGAATGGCCACAAACCTATTAAATAGATCTGTTTGTGTGCATTGGATAGAGTTACTGGCACAAATTCGCAAATTCCTCTCATTTCAACAACTTTTGTAACAGATCCCAAAAAAACAATCTGCTGTTTTTTTAAATTCTTGTTCCAGAGAAAACTGCATTACAAACAGATATGCAAAAACATGAACCAATCATTTATATCTCTACAGACTTAATATTGGGACAGAACTGATCACCCAAAGAATTATTCCATGCACGTTTTTGTGGAAGAAAACTGTAAACCACCATGTGATAAATCACATTAATAATCTATAAATACCAGCACCTTCATTTAAGACAGAGACACTCAAAGCCCAAATTGGAATAGGGCTTGAATCAGCTGGCTGTGGACTCGCACATATTATACAGGGGATCAGGAAAGTGTGTTCCATTTAAACAGCCATTCTGATGGTAATCTGACCAAACTCTCAGCATAGCAAGTAGGTGGTGACAAATCGGACGCAAAGCCGAGGAGAAAATCAGCATGACATTGTTGTGTATGATATTAGCCAAGTGACAGATCTCTCCTTCCATTCAACAGTCATAGCTACAGGTGGTGTCAGAGATCTGTGACTCAATGGCTGAGAGAACACCTTGCTGCCTCTGCTGTGATCGCCAGAGTCAATGTCCTTCACATGTCACATGGAGGGGGCTGGCTGCTCCTAGCAACGACATATAGACCTATTGATCCGTCCATTCCATCACAGGCTTGAAACGCAACACGAGTCGTGCCGATCGCCAACCGCTGCCGAGGATTGCCGTTGTTGGAATTAATGTCCCGGAGTAGTTGACAGAATCGAGAGAGTGGGCTGACAGAAGGGCGGACAGTGCTGAGGATAGGGGGCAGCACTTTAAATGGGAGACATCTATTAAACGTATGCTTGCTTGAGAATGAAGGTGAGTGCTTTTACATGTTCAATCTTATCTCAAATCTCTGCCAAATTACTTGAAGGATTCCATACGAAGCCAATCCTCTGGTGTGTCGTCTGGTGAAGTTGAATCTTTTAAATCAATCAAACATGTACTTGGACAGCCAAAAGAGTTAGCAGCTCAACTGGGTAATCACATCAGCAACGTTGGCAACAGTGCAGATAATACTTAAGGAAAGATTTGATTACTGAAATCCCTGTCCTGAAAATTAAATCTCTCAGCTATTATATTCATAGCTCCAAACTAATTATTTTTCCACATATAGTATTCACCTGCATACTTATCATATTCACAAGATTACAAACTTTCACATACTTCTACTTGAGTCCTTGATAAAGTATTTGAGATACATTTTACTAAAACAGTCATACCTAGGTAAAATCATTGTGTTACATTTGCATGAAGAATCCTTTTAACTTTCTACTGTTTTAACAGCAGGTCTGTTAAAAAAAACATTATCTACAAGACATACAGCTTCTGATCAACTGTAAGCATGGTAACATAATAGCTCATAATCTGGGGGTTGGGGGGGGGGGGCAGTAGGGAGCCTAAAATTAATTCCTTATCATGCCGAAGACAGGTTCAGTTTCCAACATGACTTCCTATGCGAAACCCATTTCTTATATACCTTCTTTGGATTATTGCTAAAAATCCACTTACTCTTAATATCCACATACAAATTTGTGCAAATCATTTGAAGAATTTGTATGCTGTACAAAGAGATTATGTGGACATAAAATAATAATATAATACAAAAGGTCAGCTCCTACACAATTATCATGTATATGAGCATCAAATACGTACATCGTAATATAGTGCAGCCAGCCAGCCAGCCAGAAACATCAGAAACAAGTTATGGCAAAACGACATCAAAGCAGTACCTCTGACAGAGAGACTATTGTACTTGTCAGCAGTCCACATGGAACAGCTGTCATCAATGAAGCAAATACTTTAATGTTGGTGTGTACCACTGTAGCTGCAGATTGTGTTTATGGAGTTCTGTCCAATGTAGATTGCCAATCTACATACTGTACACAAACATAAACATAACACTATTCATTGCTAACAGAGCTTTAACTGTAATGGTTGTTATAGAACAGAAGTCAAACTTCCTCTTTGAGTGAGACGTTGGTTTGTAATAGGTTGTGCTGGACCTTAGGAAACTTTAAAAGAAAATGTTTTAATTCTGAGTCCACTGGGAGAACTATTACCTGAGTTTGAAAGTCATAGCATCAAGGATAAATTGGTTTTCAGGAAAAGGTTGCAAATGACATCCAGTTTTTATTAGGGTGAAAAAAAGAGGTGTATTCTTGTGTGTGAAAACAAAAACAAAATACTGTAAGTGGGATTGCATTTGCTTATGAAGCAGTGCATGACCGCTGATATTATGTTTCTTTTATTTTTTTAGATTTTAAAGCTGAAACCTGTCAGGGTTTAAATATGGTGGTGAGGTGAAATGGGGTTTCATGTTGTGTTCAAGATAATTGCACGTACATAGTGATATGTGTCTGTGTGTGCCTCCATGCATGTACTAATCCGGACTGATGCTGATTTTATAGTCCAATCCCACTGAGATGTAACCATGCCGCAGTTTAACAGGAATACCCCACTCAAACACAGCATACGGCCTCCGAGACAACCAGTCCTGGTTTCAGCCCCTTAATGCCAAGCACAAGGCAGGGTAACAACAAGTACCATTTTTAAAAGCCATTTGGTATGATGTAGCCGGGGATCAAACTCTGACCTTCAGCACTCCAGACAGACGCTCCACCACAAAACCACTGAGGCGGTCGGGTTTAAATGTGCAATTTGACTACTAAATGAAAAAGTTGAATCTTTTACCCAATGCTCTGAACACAGTATGGAAGTTGGAAAATGTATTTTTACTGTTTTCTAGTATCACATGCCTCCCAACCTAATGTTTTTGAAGAGTGGCTATGGATCTGTTACCCAATAAAACAACTCCAAATCTAAATATCTGCCCATCCAACATTAGACACCTCTTGGAAATCCGGATAAGAAATGTTCCCCAGCTACTTATGCTTGTCATAAGAGGCAACTAAACGGATCGGGTGATCAAGCTCGGTGACTTGGTTGATGCATGTCATCGTATTCAAACTGTGTAGATCGATTCTCATAATGTAAATCACTGGATTGTCTGGTCCACCTATGATTATTTACAGACTGCCATCATAGTAGGTGGAATGTTGCTGAGTGAGGCGAAAACAACAAAACAACAAATCAGACAAAGGAAAACTCAAAATATTTAATGATGGCAAAAGAATTTCATTATGGTTGTGTAGGAGCGGTTTAACAGCGCTTTGAACAGTATGCTTAATGTGGGAGGAAAGCCTGAAATGATGCAAGTCTCAGACATTTCCCAGTTTACTTGCAAGCATTGGTATGGTGCTGACAAACCTAGAAACAAAATCAGGGCAAATTTGTGATTCAAAACCAAGATCAAAGTATTCTGGCATGCCTAAGGGACACAACTCTGCATATCAAATTGTGGCACTGCAACTGGGTCACCTGTGTCCATAACGTGAATTAAACAAAGTAGCAACATGTTGGGTAAATGCCCTCAAAAGGGAACTATTTTGATGAGGGTAATCATTTATCTGAGGTTGAAAGGTTACAAAGTAATAAAACGATTGAACTTTATTATCGATTGATCTTTGGTTAGCCAGTTGAATACAACAGACACTTGAGTGTGTGCAGGGAATATATATATATATATATATAACATACAGACCACAGGCTAAACAGTGTTTACACTCTGTCGGTCACTGAAGCATGACAACATTTGGAAAATACTAAAAAGGCTAAAATCACTGATTTCATAAGCAGTACACCTCTTCTTTGTATGAAGAGTCAGAGTTCAATGGTGTTTTGGTTGAAGACAGGCTTTATTCAGATTTTCATTATTCAGGTTTTCATTTTTTATATTTTTTTTATTTTCGTTCCAATAAGAGGTACACAGAGGTTTTAAATTTCGTTGTAATTCTTTGTTTTCCTCAAAATATGTGAATGAAATCAAGCTATTCTGGTCTGTCTGACATTGTGTTGTGAAGGATTGATAAATCTGTTCACGCCATAAAGTCCATTTCATAATAATCATAATTAGTTTGTTCAATTATCAAGAAATATACATAATGTATACAGTGTATAGTTTATGTGTAATTCAAAACAAATATGTTTTATTTGATAAGTACATTAACAACATGTCTTATCGCACATGAGATGAGGAAGAGTGTATATGAAACATGAAATAGTAAGTGTAAGGCTTGCATGAAACCGGATCAAACAAGATAAAACCAGATGAAACAAGAAGAAACAAACATAAAACCAGAGGAAACCAGATAGAACCAAATGAGGGGTCCATATTGTTTTAGAAAGGATGAGTGAGTGAGTAAGGGAGTGGGCTTGAATGATGTCAGCTGGTATGATTTTGTGTTCAAACTTAAATTGTCATGTGCCAGCAGTTCTTTAATGACAATTAAACTAAATGGCATACTAAACGATATGGGTGTGAGGTATTACCGGTATATATCGATAAATTGAGGTTCATCCTTGTCGCATTACGTATCAAAATTTCATTTTTTCATGCTTGATATTTCAAGTGATTTCAAATAAGGATTTTTATCACACGTTTAATGTTGTATACTTGCCAAATGCCTTGACTGCCCAGGAGCAAGCATCCGGAGCTCCAAGATCGCTGCGTATTTATTGACTGAGTAAACATTATATTGTACCAGCATCTTGTTTTGTTTCATTTATGAACTTCAATTCATACCTTAATATATCAGATTGCTTCTGGATTAAAAATTTAGAATTATACAATATCTGGCCTTGTGCATTGCAAAATATTGTGATACACTTTAACCTTTAGCCTGCTGAATTATTTTCACACTTCTTACCCCTGCCTGCTGGATTAATTTTAGCATAAGGCGCTCTAAAGAGGGTGGGTGATTTCAAACAGTCGGTGCCTCATTAAACAAGGGCCAATTGAAGAAATATTTTGCACATTTATTCCTGATAGAAAACTACACAGTACTATATAAAAATATCCCGATGTTTTCAATCATACCAATGTTAAGACCAAAGCGAACACAAAATTTGTAAATTTTCTTGAACTTACCTGAATTGCGTTATTGAAGGTGGTTTGCATTTCATGCTAGGAACCTTTTAATATCGTAAGATTTGTGCAAATTAAATTCAATAATCATATCTCCGATATCTTAATTTTAATTGAGTAAAAATTCGGTTTTTGTAATCAGCAAATAACAGCGCGATGGTAAATTAGGAAGCATTTCAGTGAATTTATTATCTAAACGTTAAACAGAAAAATAACTTCATTTTCGAGGTCATCATGTCGGTTGCAGAAATACGAATATTCGGGTTAATCTGACGTGTCATGTTATAAAATTTGCAGGAAACAATTAATGACTTATAAATATTCACTAATCCTAATTTCAAGCGTTTTGGTTGAATATTTACGATATACAAAAATAAACAACCCGTGTCATGATGCTAGCAGACGTCCTAAAATCAAACATGGCGCGCTTCGCTCGACCTCCGCATAACTTATTGCTATTTTAATATCAACAAAGTTTACATTGCCATTAAAAATATAACTTGGCGAAAGTTGACGATCTTCTCAATCGAAGAATGTTTTATTCGTCATATTCCAATCAATATGACGAGAGAAAAATGAAAATAAAGATCGTGAATTCTGACAGCACTATTTCAATAAGTGCATAGGTCACCGGATGTGATGTCACAGACAGGGGTAGTCTGCTGATAAGCTTTCGTAACAAAACAATTACAGTAAATTTTGAAATAGTTCGCCTATCACATATAGCAAAAACATAAGTCGATACACAGTATCAGTAATCGCCACTAACATGAAATAAAAATGTGACTTTGACGATATAATTCGCGTATTAGTTAATCCGTTTGACCTTGCA